GCTGCGTGTGGTGTGGCCGGGTGTGCGCGTGGCCGGCCGAGTGGACAGGAAGAGCTCAGCGCCTGTCTCCAGGAGGAGTTAGGCCCCTCCTGTCTCACTTATTTAACGGGCGGCAGACACGACTCCGATGGTGCTCCCCTCGGGTCCCGGGAGCCGTGACCTCCTCAGGTCGTGGAGGGGTTTGGTTTTTCTTTTTTCATTCTTTGTTTTCCCCAGATTAACAGAAAGCGGGTGACCAGCAGGCCCGGCCAGCTCTGAGAGTGGCCTGAGGCTGGGCCTCCACCCAGCACAGCCGGCACAGTGCCCCCGCGGCCCTCACCTGTGGGCAGCCGCGTGGGGGTGGCCGGCCTCCGGGTGCAGCCCGCTGCTGTTCTCCAGCCTGGCCAGCGTGTCCATGCGCTTCACCATCAGCTCCAGCAGGTCGCTCATCTTGCGGAGGACGCCACGGGACTCAGGGCCACCCAGCACTGTGGGCAGAGGAGGGCACTGTCAGGGCAGCCGGGCAGCACGGAGGCCACCGGTGTCACCTGGTGTCTGAGATGGGGCAGCTCAGACCCGGGCCCCCTCCCACCTTCCTTGGCCACCGCAGGGGAGGGTCAGAGAGCAAGCCCGCCCCATCTGCCCCCCTCCTCGGCCTCCCGTAAGGCCCCTCACTGCGTTGCCTGGGGAGGAAACCCCAGGACCCTGCTCCCACCAGCTGTGTGGCCCTGGGAACTGTCTACGCCCTCTCTGGGCCTCAGTTTTGTCGACTATAAAATGGAGCTTTGGCTGTAATCTCCAAGGTGCCCTGCAATCCCCAGGGCTGTGAGAGGCCAGGGAAGGTTTCAGGTGGGACAGGAGCCTATGTCTCCTAACACCTGGTCCAGACAGGACCTCCCGGTTTCTAGAAGAGTGGGCCACGGTCCACTGGCACCTGACCAGCCAGGCTGTTGGAATCCAGGTCCCCGGGCCCAAGCCTAGGCTTGCTGACTTGACGTTCTAGGGCCCTGGAGTCTGCACCTCCGTCCCCGTCCATCCCCCAGGGGATTCTGATGGAGAGGGAGCCTGTGTTCTGGGGTCCCGGGGGGATGAGGGGCATTCTACCCCAGTCACTGGGTGAGGGCTGCTCCAGGGACAGTCACGTTCTGCCCTCTCCGCCTGCCGCCGAGTGGCCAAGGGAAGTGCCCAGGCAGTAACACAGGTGCTGGCCGCTGGCAGCGCTGCCCACACACACTGAGTCACCAGGGCCAGGGAGGGAGGCAGCGCGGCAGTGTCCCCTTCTCAGGAAAGACAGAGCCGGACACCCCAGAGGCTCTCAGCTGGCTCTGGCCTGCCTCTGCCACCAAAGCTGCAAGGAGAAGTCACCGTACCACCCTTGGCCTCCATGTCCCCGACTCAAAGCAAGAACACCAGGCCCTGCCTGCAGCCCACCCTCGGAGCAGAGGACAGTGCTCAGCACACTGCCCCCTTCCCCTGGCTGTCACATCCAGCCACTGCCAGCCTCCCACAGGGACAGAAGACACCTCCCCTGGCAGCTGAGCCACCTGGGTCTGAAGGGAGGCCGCAGAGCCGGGGCAGATGGCTCAGGAGCTGGCCGGCCCCAGCCCCACGGTTCACAGCCTGGGCTGAGGTTGCTCTCCCCCGTATGAGCAGGATGAAGAGAGGCAAGCAAGATCACAGCTGCCCCACGCCACACAGGGCCTGCCCCGCCTGCCCAGGCCAGAGCGCCCGGGGCACCCCAGAGGTGTGGAGCCCAGTCCTGGTTTCTAGGGTGCTGCTGTGTTCCCTGCAGTGCCTCCGGCCTGGCCCAGGCCTGCCTCTATGCTGGCCCCTCTCCCTGCCAGGCCCAAGCCCCCTCCATTCTCCTCACTGCCTGCACCCCTGCTGGGACCTCACCACCCCACGCCCCACCAAGCTCCCAGCCCCATTTCTCAGGGATGAGGGGCCAGTAACTGCATGATCCGTCTTAGAGCTGTGGGGACCCAAGAACTGGCAGCAGAGCAGAGGTGGGGGTGGCAGCGTGGTGGCCTGGGACAGGCCTGAGTGGGAGTCAGAAAGCCTGCCCCCAGACCTGCTCCGCACCGACTAGGTGGGGACAGGTCACTGTCCTCCTCCTGGCCTCAGTTTCCCCTCATGTAAAATGAGGGGGATGGAGCCACTGAGCTCTGAGGTTCTAGCACCCCAACTTCCCCTAACTGACTCTAGACACCAGGGTAACGGGAAAGGAAAGAATTGTCCCATGGAAGCTGGCAGCAGAGTCCTCCCAAGGAGAGTTCTGTTTTGTTTTGCTAAACCCTGGGGTGGGCCAAAGCAAGTCATGTGCCCAGAGCAGACAGAGAGCTAAATGACTCTGCATATTCAAGCAGACTGAGGCTTCCTGGCACGGCTGGGGACGGGGAGAAAGAGGCGGCACAGGGGCCGGCAGAGCCAAGAAGGATGGGGATCCCCTATGGGGGCCACAGCAGGGGTGGGGGCTCTTCCTGGCGGAGATGCAGAGGGAGTTGGAATCTACTTGCTGTGCTGCACAGAGGTCTGAAGCCCCCACTGGTGACGCCTGCACCCCCCATGCAGGTGGCTAGACTCAGACCCTCGGGCAAGGGTCTCAAGGGAAGTGGGGTGTTCCTCCTACTGGGTTGCTGCAGGGGAGACAGAAGAGGCAGGAGGAAAGATGTTGAGATGGATAATTTAGCAGAAGCAAGAACTGAGAGAGCGAGATGACCAGGGAAATGTAGGCCACCCCTCCCCCCAAGAATCCTTGGCGATATCTGGGGTTGTGGACTGCCCTTCTATGAGGATGCAGCCAGTTCTTTAAAAATGCCAACGAAGGCGTGAGCCCCAAAGGCTTGCAAATAACCCCTGCCAGGCTTCACCAGGGCCCTAAATAAGGAGATCAACCGTCTTGGACAGTTCTTTAAGGGCCCTCTTCTTTCTGGACCAAGACAGCAAATCCCTCCCCAGCAGAGGGCTCGGGGGCAGCCTCCCATGTTCTCACATGCTGAGGGGCTCGCGAAGTCCCTGAGACCCGGGGACAGCCCCCGAGCCTCCTGAGGAGCTCTGAGACACGTTCGCAAGCCTGCTTTCTGCCCAGGACACGCTCAAAGTCACACCCAGGAGATGGGTACCCAGGAGGGAAGCAGGCGGGCCCTGCCTGAGTGACACCTCCCTGGCATGCCACCTCTGGACCCCGACTGTCAGCAGAGCAGGCTGACGTCCCCCAGGGTCACTTCCCCACTCCTGGCATGGGCTGAATTGAAATGTATTTACTGCGAGGCCCCAGAGATCCCTCTCAGCGCTCACCGGCCCCTCCGTATTTCCATATAAATAAGGAAAGCTGGACGCTTTCACATTTATAGACAGCGGTATTTTTATTACCCGCCGAGGCCTGGCCTCCTCCCCCGACGCTCAATCTCCCCCTCCTCCCGTCTTGTCCCCACCCCTACCCTTCACTGAGGGTTCCCTGGACCTGAACAAGCCCCCAGCTCACCAGAGAGCCCGGCCTTCCTGGCCCTGGGCCCTGGGGGGGGGGCGGCTGTGACTGTTTGCGCAGCTGGAGAAAGGAGCACATTGGCTGGCGCACAGGGCCACGCCAGAACCAGCTGGGGGCACGGAGCTCCTGGCCGGGCAACAGCGGAGACAAGGCCAGGCCCTGGGAGGCCGGATGAGGCTCTTCCTCAGCCCACTGGGCCCTGGTTCCCACCCATGCAGCTTCTGAGAGAAGGGCCCCAGAGCTGCCCACAGAGCTGGAAGCCTGCGAGCTTCAGCTCCTGCCCGGGGCCTGGGTGGTGTGGCAGGGCAAGCCACGCACTGCCCCGGGCAGACACAAGCTGAGCGCTACTTCTTCAAGACCAAACAGGGCAGGAGGGAGCCCACAGCTCCCCTCACATGCAACTAAGTCTTCCTTAGAAGGACGCAGGGAGGAGGGAGAGGGGCCCCGGGAGGAGGGAGAGGGGCACAGGGAGGAGGGAGGGGGTGCAGGGAGGCAGAGTTGCCGAAATCAGCCCCCCGCCATACTAAGGCCCAAGCCAGACCCCCCCACCCCACAGCAAGAGGGAATGAAGTTAGACCTCTCCAGTGACGATCCCCTTCAGCCCTTCTTGCCTGAATCTCTTAAGATTTTGAGTGTGCAGAATGCAGAGTGAGATATCCGTCAGGTTTTTATTCCCAAATGAGCCACCTCACCATGAAGTGAACTGGCCTAGAGGGGAAGGCGCAGCCTCTGCAGGGACCACCTTGCTGGCCACAGCCAAGTGTTGGGCTCTCCCCTGCCACGGAGAAAGCCCTCCTCCTGCCCCTGCCCTGTGCTGCCGCTGTGGGGACCCCGCCTCCCTCGCTGGCCAGGCTGTTCTCCCCACTGTGTTCAGACTGTTGTGCTGATCGGTGATGAACTCATTTATTTCCCTAAACGGCAGGGCCCTGGTGGGCTTCCTTCTGATTCTGGGGCTCCTTGAACCCCACAGGATGGGCATTGCCCAACACCCCGACCTTGGCCCAGCGCTGGGCTCCTTCCCAGCCCCCTCCCTTGCTCCCCCACAACGGCTCGGTGTGGGCAGGCTGGCATCTGCTGGGGTTTCCACGGGGCTGCTGGGCACAGGGCGGGGTGTCATTGGGGCTTCTCTTCAGGACTCATATTTTCAACTCACAGGGGACACGGCTTTCCAGGCCTGTGTCCGTGTGTCCCTCCAATCAGATTGGCTGGATGCAAGGACATCAGAGAAACTGGGGGGCAGGCAGTGGGAATGGGGACACAAACTGAATCAGGGTCCTTTCTCCTTGGCTCTGGGAGGCCCCCTCCATTCCTCCCCCTCCCAGTTCCGAATTCCAGGCACTCAAGCCCCGGCCCGAGGAAAGTGGGAACTGTGGACAGGCTCTGAGCAGCACCATTCCCAAGGCCCAACAGGGACCAGCGCCCAGGCCCGGCCATGGTCAGAAGGATGTTATGGTGTGGACGTGAGGGGTCCCCCAGAGCTCACGTGAGACAATGCAAGAAGGCTGAGGTGACATGACTGGGTGGTGACTGGTGACCCAGTCAGTAGACTAATCCCCTGACAGGACTACCTGAGGGGTCAGGAAGGCGGGCGAGGTGCGGCTGGGGAGGTGGACATGAGGGGCGTGGTTTGGGGTGTAGACTCCTGTCTGGGGAGTGGAGTCTCTCTCTGCTGCCTGGTCATCATGGGAGACGCCTCCCTCACCACACTCCTCTGCCACGATGTCCAGCCTCACCTCCAGCCCCGGGGAACGGAGCCTGCTGTCTATGGACTGAGACCCTGAAAACCACAAGCCCCCAATAAACTTTTCCTCCAGCGTTTTTCTGGCCAGGTCTTTTGGTCACTGGGGCCATCACACATGGAGGCTGCAGAGTTCTGAGAACCAGGGAGGGTGACCACACAGGGAGGGCGAGGGTCCCGGGCAGTGCTGACAGAGAGGCGGCCCACGGCACTGCCCTGCCAGTGACATGCCACCCAGGTGAACCCCCTCTGTACCTCTAGAAGTCAAGGTCATGGCCAGCCTTGGCAAAGTGGTGACAGAGGTGGCACGAGGCTTTCTCCCCTCTACAGAATAAAACCTGGGGCTTGAGCCAGACCCCCCCCTGCTCCCCACCAGCCCCTGTGCTCTGGGCCCCGGGGTCCACCCTGCCATGGGGCAAGGACCATGGGGGTGGAATTGCTTTGGCTCCCAAGCCCCTGAGGGAGAGGGCAGAAGAACCAGCCCCAAACCCCTCCCCCCAGCCCCTTCTCTCCTCCTGTCAGACTCCAGACCTTTCTGGAAGCTCAGATTCCTGATGCCCTGTGTAGCAGGCCACTCAGACAGGAGCACCCGCCCAGGGGCAGCATCCAGGGAGCCTGCGCTGCTCTCCCCACACCCACGCCCCCCCCCCAAGCCCACCTTCCAGACACCTTCCCTGTGGCCCACCCGCTCTCCAACCCCAACCAGGCGTCTCCGTGTGCAGACCCAGCACCCCATCCCCCTCCCCAAAACGTCCTTTTCTGCAGCTCCCGCGTCTCAGACTTAACACATCCCCCCATGTGTGGAGCCACCCCGCCCGCCAGGTGCTGCTCGGGACCCTCACGAGGTACTTACCGCGGGAGAACATGGAGGCTCCCCAGAGTCAGAGCGGGATCAATGAGCTCACACTGGAGCCTGAATGACTAATGGGTGTGACATTCCTTCTGGGAGCTTTTGCAAGTTTAAAGAAGCACGAGTTAAACCGAAGGGATGAATCCAGTGACGAGTCACAGATGGCACCACAAGTGCCACTCAGAGCGCCCACTCCACATGACAGCCAGCGCGCCGAACGACACCCGTCACTGGGACAGGGAAGCCAGCCAGCTGAGCACCGTGGGTCTGAGAAGGGGACTCCACAGAGAGCCCTCCCCAGAGGGGCAGGGGAATCTCACACAGCCAGCTGGTCCCTGCAACCCGCTGACCTCGGGCTGTCCCCGCCCATGTCCCTCCTCTCTGCCCTGATCTAAAGAACCCCTGTGTCAGACGGGGGTAGGACTCTGCTGCTGTCCACCACCACCTCCCAGTGAGTAGGGGGAAGGGGAAGGACCCAGCTTTAGGATGAGGACTTCAGGATGAGGACTCCCAATCTGTCACACTCAGGCCACGTGACAACCAACCACACCAGGTAATTTCCATGTGTGACCCCATTCGGCCCAACCTTCCAAAAAGTTCATTGTGACTTTTCTTCTGTGTCGGCAACTTAAGTGACTTGCGGGTGGCACACAGCTAGGAGGCAATGAATAGAGATGCAAACCTGGGCCTGGCTGGTCCCTAAAGTCCGTGCTCTGAACCTCTACTCGTGCCTTGCAAGCATCGTGTGGGCAAGGAGCAGTGAGGGACTGGGAAAGGTCTATGTCCCCAGAGTTCAGAGGAGACACGTGAGCTCATGATCAGGCCTAACCCCGCCTGTGTCCACAGCCTGGGCCCAAGGCACAGAGGACACATGTCTCAGAGGCAAGTGTCATAGCCAGACCCCCAACACTCCAACCAAAGAAGCCACACAGGAGACCCTGGCCTTCGAATCCATGGGCACAGGCAGGACCAAAGTCAAAGTCTTGTGCCAGATCGCACGGCCCAAGCAGGCCCTCTCCCCTACACCCCTGCAAGCAGCCAGCAAGCCTGAGTCAGGGCTCCAGAAAGCCCCCTGTGGTGCTGGGCCAAAGGGACCTGCCCTTCTACTCACAAACACCTGCACGTATCCTTGACTCCCCTGACCCCAAGATACCTTCGGTACGGATGGTGAAGGGCGAGTCCCCCAGGCGCCGCGCTGAGAACTGGCCTCCCAGAGACGTCATCAGGAAGCAGACAGTGAAGAAGCCGATGCCCAGGACAAAAAGCCTGTGGGGAGGACAGAGCAGGTCAGCAGGGCAGGCCAGCGACAGTGCCCCCAGCCTCCACCGAGGAAGGCACAGAAACGCCAAGGTAATGCACAAGGAGGGAAGCCAGGGACAGAGGGAAGTGGGGGGGGCAGTGGGGCTGAGCCCGAGCCCAGAGGACAAAGAGAGTGGGCTACAAGAAGCTGGCCACAGCCCCCTGGCAAATCAGAGGGGGAAGGAGGCACATGGAGATAGAAACCTGGGCAGGGCCTGGCCTAAGACAGACCCTGTTCATTAACAGCATTAGACTGCCAAAGTGTGACTCCCAGACCGGCTGCCGCAGCAACGTCACCTGAGAACTTTCAGAAACGCACGACGTGGGGCCCCAAGCCCCCCACCCTGGCGGGGGACAGGTGATCTCGTCTCACACGCTCTCCCAGTGATCCTGATGCATGCTAAAGTTTGAGATCTGCTGGAACAGATGGAGCAGCAAGGCATGACATCAGCCCGAGGGCAAGTAATTGGTCCAGCTCAGACCCACCTGGATCCCATCAATCACCTGGGCCACCCTCAGCCCTGGTGTACACAGGCCTGGCCACCACCATCAGTCACGAGCTCACTATAACCCTTCCCCACCTGTGTCCTCAGAAGTGGTGCCTGCACCCATCACTGCTTCTGGTGAGATCCCAAGGCAGGGCCACATGGCCCCCTGCTGTGCCCAGGCCTCTCCCACACACTGGCTCTCAGCCTGCACCATTGACTGGCCAGGGCATGCTCACACCTAGACATGGACGTCACACAGATGTGTGTACTGTCACCCCGGTGGGAGGGCTGGCTCAACGAGACACCACTCATCCCTTCAACCCATCGTTATTGATTATCCACCAGGTGTCAGGCACTGGGGTGATCCAGGAGGATAGTGGGGAACCAGGCACAGAACCCACCCCGGCACAGCCTTGGGGGCAGGCAGGTGTGGACAATGTCCAGGGACCTTGAGTCTATCAGAAGGCTTGAGGAACTGTCAGATCTGAGAGGGGACGTCCCTTTACCTGGCCAGAGGGAGGAAACCCATCCAGTGTGGAGCCAGGCTGACCAAGGAGAGCCCTACGCGTCAAGCAGAGACCTCCAGCTGCCCAGCCTCCACTTCCTATCCCCAGACCTGGTGCTTGTTTGTATCTTTATGCAAGACTTGCTTTATGCATTTTAATCTTCATTATTTGAAACTGGCAGAGCAGTATTTAATTAAAATTTGGTCCATTAAAGAAAACACATAATTGCAGAAGAAAATAAAATGCATAACAACATTCCCAGCCCACATTTAAAGAAAGCTGTTAGAGATTAAGTCAGAAAGAGGGGGCAGGAACCGCACAGAGAGGACCCGGGATCTTTCCCCAGGAGAACTCTCTGGCAGAGCATCTCTGATGGGAGGAGGGAGGAAGCAGTTCAGTGGGCAAGACAGCACAAGGGACACTTCCCTTCATCTCAGAGGGAAACCTCAGTGAGTTCCCCTAGGCCTGAGGGTGGGGCTCAGACTCTGCTGTGCCCCAGATGAAATCAGATGGGTCTCAGGGCAAGAGCACAGGAAGAGGTTGTCATAGACCCAGGGAGATCCCTGGGGAAATCAGCCCTTTGCCCTCCCAGCCTAAGGACAAGGAAGAGCTTCCCTCAGCCCTGGTCCCCCCCCCCCATCCTCCACCCTCTCCCTAGCCACGGAGTTGTATTTAGGGCTGGAGACCTGGGGGTGCCTGCCAGGGTCCAAAAACATCCATGAGGAACATGTCTACACCTTTGACCAGACCCTGAAGCCCCACAGACTTCACCTGCACCACACTCTGCCAGTCCCCAAGCCTTGGGTTCAGGTCCCCCAAAGCACTGGGGTCTATTTATAGTAAATTCAAGTTAAAGTGGCTTCATCCATCCACATATGCACTCAGACAACACTGCAGAGCACCTGGGGAAGAAAGCCCCGGCAGAACCCATGGGAACAGCATTCCCAGGCCGTCCTCGGGGATGAATTAATTGAAGTGATGTAATCAGAGCCCTGCCCTGATCCCGAGGGGACTTGAAGACTCCATTGGTAGCTGTGGGTCTCTGCAATCACACCGCATCCCTGCCTTCAGAGCCCCAAAGGCTGTGGTGCAGGATGCACCCTAAAGTGGGCCAGGGGCAAGCACTGTCCGTGGTGCTGGAACCCGGGCAGCCTCCAAGCGCCCCAGGAAATGTCCAGCAGAAACTGGACTTCCCATGGCCTGCAGGGAGGGGACCACAGGGGGTGAGAGAGCAGGAGGGAACTTGAGAATCCTCTCAGAGTCCCGGGCAAGCCAAGGACTTGAGGGTTTTCTGGAGGACCAAGGCCTTTCTAGAGAGAACGGCTTCCTGCCCTGCTTACCATGAGCACCTTAGGCTAGGGGTCCCTGACTCCCCCCAAATAACCGCTTAAAACCCCACTCTCAGACCAGACTCCAAAGTCCCCGGCATCCTCCCTGACCAGCCTGATGGTTGCTGCCCCCAGGCTTCCTTCTCAGCCCTCAAAACCGGCCTGACACCCGGGAGGCAGGAACCCAGGAGGGCCATCTTCTCCCCACCCCCAGCCCCTTCCGGGCCAGGGAGGGAGATGGGCAACGACTGGGGTGGGGGAGGAGCCAGGGCTCCGTCGGAGGCCTGGAGTGGAGGGGATCAAGCCTCTTCCCTCCTGCAGCCCAAACCCTGGGCGCCTCTGACCGCCAGCGCCTGCTCTCAAGGTCTCTGTCCTGCAACCGCACCCCACCTGTGGCCTGTCCCGCCCCGCGCTGGCACCCGAACTCCCTCCGCGTCTTCTGCAGCCCAGCTATGGAACAGAAGGACACTCCAGCCCTGCTGGGCGCCTAGCGCCCAGCGCCTCTTCCCCAGCCCGCGCAGCGGCTCCACTCCGATGCCCTGGGAGGGAGAGAGCTACCCTGGCCCTGGCGGGCTCCGGGGGGCCCAGGAGTGGGAGTAGCAGAGCCGGGTGAGTCCCGCACAGCCTCAGCCCCCTGGACCAGGCCACCCAAGGTGTGTGTGGCCAGAGTGTCGTCTTCGCCTCTGTCCGCCCTCCACAATCGGGCTGCACCTGCCCCGCCTGTTGACCCGTAGTTGAGGGTGAATGCCCAGCGGAGGAGCGTCCGTGGTCCAATCTCTGGAACCCTCGGGTCAGAGACTGGCCCGAGCCCTGTCAGAGGGGGTGGGCCGAGAAGGCGGGAGGAGGGGGTGGATTAGGCAGAAGGGGTGGGCGGGCCGACCTAGGGACCACGGCTGGACCGGAGAGGGAGTCGCCCTGCCACCGCGCACTGACTTCGCTACCAGATGGGACTCGCCGCAGGTGGGGAAAGCCCCAAGGGGCAGGGAAGGGGCGTGCTGGCTGGGGCCACTGCCCGGGCCCTGGGCCACAACCTCGATGCTTTCTGACCCCATTCTCACCTCCACACCTCAAATCCCTCCCAACCTAGTCCAACTTGGGACAGGTGCAGAATTACATTACCCTCCCTACTCGCACCCCGAGCCCCAACTCCATCTGTTCCCGCAGCCCCAGTGGCCATCACCGAGGGTCCAAACGCGAACCTCCTTTGCCACTGGAACTTGCATCCTCGCAGGGACCGACCTCGCCTACCGCCACCATGCGCCCCCTCGGGGAAAAGACCCCCCGCCACGCCAACCAGGGGAGAACTTTACCGGAAGGGTCTCAGAGTGACCAGGCATCTTCTGACCATTATCTTCCCATCTGGGTTGACTGTGATCATTGTTCAAACTTGTCAGGGCGAGAAGCCGCGGGAGAGGCCAGACGCACAGTCCTAGGCGCGGCTCTTCCCGCGTCGGGGCCACCAACTCGCTGAGGGCCGAAGCCCTTTCCGAGCGTGGAGGGGGCGCGGGGCACGGTGGCCTCACTGCTCCGGCCACCGCCCGTGGGGTGGCGCGGCCTCTGCGCGCAGAGACCCAGCCAATCGGCCTCAAGAGCAGGAGGAGTGGGGGGCATTGAGAGGCTTGTGGGAAGCCAGTGGTGGCAGTTGGGCTCTGAGGGAATTCCTGAAGAGCTCCTGTGGTGTGGCGTGTGTTCTAAAAATAAAGTTCGTTTTTGCTTGATAAGTGGCTCCTGAATTGTGCCCAGCCAGACTGTGGCACAAAACAAAACAAAAACAAACAAACAAAAAAAATCCACCATGACATCAAGTTAAAATTTACAATTTATTTGAGCATGAATAGGTCCTAAAGGAGACAGTATTGTAGATACAAGGTGGTACTTGGTTTGGATATGGTTTCTCTCCTTGGATAATACATTCTATGTATTGCCATGGTAGGTGCAATGTACATATTATTTTGTCCTCCTCGTCCCCAACTTTGTTTTTAATCTCACATCTGCAGTTCATCATAATCAGTGTTCATTGATAATTCTTTTGCCAACATCCTACAATCAATGCTTGGTTGCATGAAACTCATGCTCTAAGAAGTCCATCAGGAAGAGGTCAGGAGATTAATAGTCCCTGAGTTCCTACATATGCATGTGCTATGCATAATGGCATTGGCTCACAAACCCATGGCTCACAACTTGCTTTCCAGGTCTCTCTTGTTGCTGTATCTCTGCTGTTTTCTAGTATGGATCATTGTGCACAGAAGGCCAAGGCCAACCTGGTTCTCCTTTTCTCATAAATCACTGAGTCATTTGTGTGTCTGTCAATGGACTCTCTATTTTTACAGCCCAACAAGTGTTTGGGATTCTGTCTCAGTGTTGACTATCTGGTATGAATTTTCCAGACACAGTGTAGGCCTCTATGGTATGCAGACTCCAGTGTTCTTTCATTTCAGACACATTTTATGGAATTATAATTTTAAAACTTTTGATCGGTTTTAGTTCTCTATATTAGTTCTCCTTGCTACTTTTTAAAAATCTAATTCTTTGTTACTGTTTACACTTTTGGCTTTCCGTATTAATATTTTAGGCTTATTATTCTGCTTTCTGTTGTGCTTATTATCCCGTGTGCATTTCATAATCTGGTCTTCACTTCTCAAATTGTGTGTGCTTCTTCCTTTCTCAATTGGGTTGGTGGATGTTTCACTTCTCTTTTTGTTGGATCATAACACATCTAGATTCCTTTACCTCTTGGTTTTGACATTCTTTGTAGTTGCAACTACTCTCTATTAAATTTTTTGAAAATTTTTTCAGTTGCAGATGGACAAAAGACTTTTATTTTATATATTTTTATACAGTGCTGATGATTGAACCCAGTGCCTCACACGTGCTAGGCAAGCACCCTACCATGGAGTCATGACCCCGGCCCTCCACATTAACTTTTGAATTTCGTGTTCAACTGGTATGCAGCAACATTCCTCTGTTTCACAGCCATAATTTTCTGGTGAGCTTTATTCTTTTTGCTAATATATTGTACAATATTTTAAATCAGTGGTAGAAATTAGTCTTCCAAAGAACAAATATCAATGGTTTTCTACTTGGAAAGTTTGCCCTTCAAGATAACCTAACTGAGGGGCTGGGGTTGTGGTAACTCAGAGGCTGGTTTTCACAAACGTAGAGAATTCTATTTGCCTCACAAGTGAAACATATTTCTGATCTTCTCTATGATCTTCATGGCCATGATTCTACTGCCTGAGCCAGGCAGGCTAAAGACAAAGCAGTGTCTCTTCTTGCAGAGGTGTGTTGATAATATCTCATACTATTGGGCTGTGAGCAAATGTAACACCTCACAGCCAAGCTGGTCACGCAAGAAAAGCTCTGCAGCCGAGCAAGACAGTCACAAGGACCAGCAGCAAGGTTTTCATTTACTGGGTGTCCGCAAGGTCATAGGAGCAGGGTAACCTACCAGAGCCTGACCCCTCCACAGACTCTGCATTGCTCTTGGGACTCAGGCAGAGGGACTTGATCACCACACACACCTTCCTGAGGTAGCCTCCCTGTTCACCAGCTTCTGCTTCAAAGTAAAGGCACGCGAGTGTCATAGTCTCTCTGCTCTGCATCCTGCTCCCCTAAAACAGTGTACCTGATGGCAGGACTGTTCAGTGTGATTGGCAGAGTATCACAGATGACTTCCTGCTTCTCTTGCAAATCCGGGTCCACAGCCCAGCTTCTAGAGAAGATAAGAATTCCTAGGAGAAATTATGCTTTTGCTAATTTATTAATCCCTCCAGTCTTTCATGTTGTGAAGACACCTCCTTTTGGAGGAATTCAGCAGTATATTGCAAACATCCTGGTGCCACTGGAATTGAAAACATTAGAGAAAGTTTAAGCAATGCACTGGCATTATTTTGTATGAATCACACATTACATTTAAAAGGGAGATGAAAGTTTTCATATCTGACTCATCTTTTTTTTTTTAATCACAATGCCTTTATTTATTTATTTTTTAAATGTGGTGCTGAGGATTGAACCCGGGGTCCCGCCTGTGCTAGGCGAGCGCTCTACCACTGAGCCACAATCCCAGCCCCCTGACTCATCTTTTAATGACTGGTATCCTACATATCTGGTGAAAGGAATGAGGCTTCTCTTCTCTTATCTCGTGGAGAAAAGAGTGTGCCAACTAAAATGAAATTCACTGAGCCCCAGGAAGCGGAAAACATGAAAGCACTTATTCTTGCACCTCAAGTTCTTATTTGAAATGTTTAAAACTTTTCTGATAAGTTAATGAATAGAAAGATCTCAGGTAAATAAACTATTTGGTTGAAAATGAACCTATATCAGTGCTTATATGTTAATTAACTGACCCTTATATGTATTTAGACATACATGGGACATTTGAATGCCATATTCTACTGTCAGGTCTCTCATTTAATGTGTTCGATATGTGAAGTTAAAAGAGCCATTTTTAGGTATGTGGAAACAAATCCCACATGCACTCCCGTGCAGACCATGGATTTGGCAGAAACAATACAGTGACTGAACAGCAACCTGATGGTATAGAGTCACCTTATCAGACGGCGCCAGGAACCATGTTACACTAGTCAGTAACCTCTCTGGCTCCTTCAGGCAAACATGACTTGAACTCAACATAAGCTCCTGGAGTTTCATCAGCAGGAGGGAACGTCAGTGCACACCATGACACATTTACATTGAAGTTGTCACTGTTGCCTTGACACACCGCCTTGACCCGTGGCCAGTCACTTCCCCAGAATTCAGCTTCCCGTCCCTCTAAATGGCCTCTTTTTTTTCATGGGGCTTGTGATTTTGGGAATTGGAAAGTTTTAGAATTTCAGTATTGGAGATTTGAGCCTTTGGGGATTATGATTTGGGAGATTTTAGAATTCAAGTGTTCCAGACTCGGCATTTTGATCTTTTGGGATTTAAACATTTGCAGTGACGGAGTTTGGGATTACGTCTTTCAGGATAATGACCAGCACAGGTCATTATCTTTTACATTCAAACGACAACGTGGCTTGTAAATTTGGTCTGTGTAATGTTTACTTCTTCTCAGAATTCTGAGAAGAATTCTGCTCCTCTCCTCTCAACTGCGCCTTGCGGGGCTCCCAGCTCTATTCTCTGTTCCAAGGACCCACTGATCCTCCTGGTCGTGGACTCAGAACACCCCAGCCAGGATGTATCTGGCTCCACTGGATTCAGGGCAGTCCCTAGCACATCTTTGATGAGGGAGAAACGCCAAACCCTGGTGCTCCTCTTCTTATGGAATCTTTCCATATCGGTGAGGGTTTCTACCTCTATCTCAGATGCTTTCCTCCAGAAATGAGTGAGAGAGATTTTTCAGGATTTTCTCAACTCAGATTCCTATTCAGAACTGTTTGTAGAAAAACAACCTTTCTCGTGAGTATTTACAGGGGCTACGTGAGTGATTAGGATAGCTTCAGTTCCTCCAAGTGAACAGACCTAAAGAATGCCTGGGGTTTTTCTTTGGGGGTAATGACATTTCTCTTCTTTTCATTCCCATTGGGGAAATTATGACCTTCATCAATGATGTTCTTTTCAAAATCATAGATTGTCTGACTAGATCCTGGGCAGTTTTTCATTGCTGTTAAAGGAACAGCAAACTGTCTTGATTTTAAAATGAAAGAATGTCTATCCATGAACAAGAAAAGAGTAAATAAAATTTGTGCACAGAATAGGTAACTAATTAATCTTTCTAATTGCTCTTAAGCAACGTATGTAAAGACTATTCAGGAAGAAGTGAACAGAAGCTAAATTGAAGTTCTCCAACATCAGGTGAAGCTGCTTAACCGGCAGCATCTCAAAGAAACATTTTTGAAAATTAGAGAACAGCATCATCTTTATAATGAAAAATATCTTTGTAGCCCAGTCCACCTTCCATTATCCAGGTAAGGCTTTGTCAAGTGTTATAGTTTGTATGTAAGGTTTCCCACAAAACCTCCTGTCTTGATTCAGGAATGTTCGGGGTAAAGTGATTGGATTGTGAGAGACTGAGAGAGCAACACGAAGACCAAAGAAGGAGGGCTGCCCAAACCCTTGGGAGAGCACATGGCACAGCCTTGTATCTTAGATGAGCCATCAGGGATGGAGTTCCAGGAACTCAGCTGGATTTTGGTCTTTCTTTGGCCCCTTATTTCTCTGTGCCTATTTCTCCCCTTTGGAGTCACAGTGTTTACTCTGTGCCATTGTATATTAGAGATTGTGACTTGCTTTTGATTTTACAGGGCCTCACAACCAAGAGTTTTCAGATGAGACTTTGGACTTGGACTTTGGGGTAATTCTTACAATGTTAAGAAAGGGAAACTCTTGGAAAAAAATTAAATGAATTTTGCACTGTGAGATGGACATGAGTGTTGGGGGTCAGGTACAGAATGTTATGGTTTGGATGTGATGTATCCCACAAAAGTTTTTGTGCCCGTGCAGTAATACTCAGAAGTAAAGTGATTGATCAGGGAGAGCTGTGGCCTAACCAGTCCCTCCTCATGTGAATGACACTGGGAGGTGACTGTCGGTGGCTGAAGGAAGTTGGTAACTGGGTACCTGACTTGGGAAGGGTGCATCTTCCCCACATTCCCTTGCCCTCTCCTCTATCTCTCTCTCTGCTTCCTGAATCTGTCATAAGCTGAACAGCTTCACTCTTCTGAGACATTCTCCCATGATATGCTACCTCATCTTGGGCCCAGAGTAATGGGGTCAGATGTCTATGGACTGAGACCTCCAAAACCCTGAGCCCCAAATAAACTTCTCCTCTTTTAAGTTGCTCTTGTTGGGTAATTTTATCACAGTGACACAAAAGTTGACTAAAACACCAAGTTTTTAACATCTGTATGGCATTTTAATAAAAACAATCTATATTGATTATCTGGTAGACATTTGAAAATCCCAAGGGCATGCTGCTCCCTCAAACAGTCAATCTCCTTCAGACTACATAGAGGGCTTCACCTGGTCCCTTGTGGCTTCAAAGATTGTAAGCCAGTAGGATGCAGGTACGACAGTTTCAATCTTGAATCATAAAGGAGATTATTTTGGCATCAAGACTCACACAGATAACACCAGGGGGGAAATAATCCAATCAATAAATGGGCAAAGGAACTAAACACTTCACAGAAAAAGAAATACAACTGGTCAACAAACATAAGAAAAAAATATTCAACATCTCTAGCAATTAGATAAGTGTGAATCAAAACTACACTGAGATTTCATCTCACTCCAGTCATAATGGCAATTATCAAGAATACAAGTAACAATAGATGTTGGCAAGGATGTGGAGAGAAAGGTATGATGCAACCACTATGGAAAGCAGTATGGAGATTCCTCAGAAAACTCGGAATAGAACCACTATTTGACCTTGTTATCCCACTCCTCCTCAGTCTATACCCAAGGGACTTAAAAACATACTACAGTGACTAAGCCACATCCATGTTTATAGCAGCTCAATTCACAATAGCCAAGCTATGGAAACAACTGAGGTGTCCTTCAACAGATGAATAGAAAAAGAAAATGTAGAACATATACACAGTGGAATATTACTCAGCCTTAAAGAAGGATGAAATAATGGCATTTGCTGTTAAATGGAAGGAACTGGAAAATATTATGTGAAATAAGCCAATAAGTGAAATAAACCAATCCCAAAAAACCAATGTCCGAATGCTCTCTCTGATTTGTGGATGCTGAATCACAACAAGGGAGGGTGGGGAGGAAAAGAATAAAGTTCATTGGATTAGATAAATGGAAATGAAGGAAAGGGAATGGGGGAATAGGAAAGACAGTAAAATTAATTGGCCATAACTTACCTAACCTGGTATTTGAATACATGGCTAGGGTAACTCTATATTATGTACAACCACACGAGTGGGAACCTAAATAGAATAAGGTACATTCTATGTATATATATTCTGCCAAAATATATCATATTGCTATACATAACTAAAAGTAATTGAAAAAAAAAAGATTCAAGAAGAATATCTTCCTCATGATGGTGAGTTTCTTAGGGAAACCACCAAGTTTTGCCAGTTCTGCTTTAAAGTTTGGGCAGTTTGGGAAGAATAGCCTTTAAGCTTATATCTAGTTCCCTGAGAAAGAGGGGAATCATCTTCTAAATTCTCAACTACCCTGAGGAAAGTGTCCAGGACTAGTGGATTTTCCTGGGAAATCAGAAGCACATCAAAGGTGACTTCCTCATTCTTTGGCAGGTGCAGATCCAAAGACCAGCTATTAGAGAAGACCAGCGGAGAGTGCTCATCCAAGGCCATGTCATTCTGTTCATTGTTCAAGTGCTTCCTCTTGAAGAAGAGTTCCCGGCAGAGGCTTTCTGGAATAGATCTCATCTTTTTCTGTAACCACTAGATATGGAAATAATGATAACAAAATATAAAGAAGAAAACCCTGGGAACGTGCCATGGAAACTGTGTCTGCTGTAGCACCAACCCTCCCACCCGAAACAGCTAGGAAGCCTGTACAAAATAGAGCCAACTGTGGCGTCCAGAACTGGAGGGCCAGTGGGACAAGCAGGACGACAAGGCCAACACGTGTGATAGGAGCACAGGAAGCCGCTGCACTCTCCAGCCTGCTTCTCCCTCAGATATTTTCTGGGCCGTAGCATGGGTCACTAGAGCCCCGATAGCTGTCAACAGGCCACTGACATGAGGAGAAAGGAAGGGGTCCAAATCCTAGAGGGGCTAGAATCTGAGAAGAAAACCTCAGAAAGGATGAAACTGCAGAGGAGGAGCCTAAGTCAACTTACAAATTCCCCTCAACTCACTGACTGATCCAGGATGAGAGGCTGGGAACCCAGAGAAAGCAGAAACCGGGAGCCTGAGGAACTGGACTAAAATCTCACCAACCTCCTGAGCTGAGCAGACACAGGCAAGAATTAAAGTCCCAGCAAAGAGGAGGCCCTGGGTGAACACCCTGACTTCAGCTTAGACTGCAGAACAGCCTCAGCTAGTAGTAAGAGCAAAATCTTAGCTAGAAAAGCATAAAACTAAACTTCAATTGGAGCAAGACAATCACTGATGCCCATCTTCCTGCCAGAAGAAAGGACAACCCTATATGAAAGGATAGAACATCTTTCTTTTTTTTTTTAAAGAGAGAGGTGAGAGACAGAGAGAATTTTTTTTAATATTTATTTTTTAGTTTTTTGGCGGACACAACATCTTTGTTTGCATGTGGTGCTGAGGATCGAACCTGGGCCGCACACATGCCAGGCGAGCGCGCTACCGCTTGAGCCACATCCCCAGCCCTAGAACATCTTTCAAAATTTCCCTAATTCATAATCCCTGATATAATAGGAAATTAGGAAACATGATAAAGCCGGACAATTTGAAAAAAATAAAAATAAAAACCAAAACAAACAATAAAGCAACCATGAGAAAAGGAAAAGACTGCTGAGTGCCAACTGTAATTAAAATATACCCCCAAATGAAGAAGAAATGGAAAGACAAAAATTTCCGGATTCTCCTACAGACTCCTAAATTTGAAATCAATAGATAAAAGTCATGTCAACATCCTATCACTCTAAAAGGCAGTATCTGATATTAAGGGCCTTGTTACTACATGTGATAGCAGACCAACAGCAGAAACCAAGATTAACTGTCATGATACAAGGTAGCAAACAGTTCCAACCCACACAAAGAAAAAGAATGGAAAATCAGAACACAGGAGCCATGTCAGAGGTACTCCAAAGGTCTAACACAGCGTAAGTCACAAGAGGAGAGAAAAAGACAAAAGCATGATCTGAAGAGATAAACAGCAATGATTTTCTTGAAATTGACGAAGGACACCAGTCACAAACACAAGAAGCTCAGCAAGAAATATTTTAAAAAGAACAAATACCACTGGGCACAACGGCCCACGCCTGTAATCCCAGTGATTCCAGAGGCTGAGGCAGGAGGATCGCAAGTTCAAAGCCAGCCTCAGCAAAGGCAAGTTGCTTAGCAACTCAGTGAGACCCTGACTCTAAATAAAATACAAAATAGGGCTGGGGATGTGGCTCAGTGGCCAAGTGACCCTGAGTGTTCAAGAATGGGGCGGGAGGAGGGGCCAGGGCGGGGAAGGAGAGCCTGGTCCCCTCCCTGCAGCGCATGGAGATGTGGGACTTCAGCCTCAAGTAGCTTCACCAGTAGGTCGGTCGAGTTGCACAAGCTGCGCCTCCTGCTTGAGGTCAATGGGAAAGTCTTCGCTGTGACCAAATGCCGCAAGTTGTAGGGCCCCGCGGGTGCATATGGAATATTTGCTGGTAGGGATGCCTCCAGAAGACTGGCAACATTTTGCCTAGATAAGGATGCACTTAGAGATGAATATGATGATCTCTCAGACTTGAATGCAGCGCAAATGGAGAGTGTTCGAGAATGGGAAATGCAGTTTAAAGAAGAATATGAATATGTAGGCAGATTCCTAAAACCAGGGGAAGAACCTTCAGGATATGCAGATGAAGAAGGTACCAAGGGGCACAATAAACAGGATTGAACTCTGTAAACAACCAAAGTCAGGGGCCTTCAGAACTGCAATTCTTGCTCCCTTTCACAGACTGTCCAGTGTCTTTGGGTTTGATTCACCTGCTGCAACAAACATTCGACATATTGTGTACAAGATGTATGGGTCTCACTATGAAGACTTGAACACTAGACATTTTTTATGCTGCCAGACTCATTTGTTGCAGTTGTTTGTAATGTCTGGGGTGGCTTCATCGTCCTGAAAAGGAGGGAACAGGGATTTCTTAAACTGCAAGAAAGTCATGAGGTTACTTTTAGCTTTTTCCCTTTCTCTTTTATCTTCCTCTCTTCCCCCCTTCCTCCCTTCCTCCCTTCTTCTCATCTTCCCTTCTTTCCTACTCTCCCTTCCTTCCCCTCCCCCTTTTTTAAGATATCAAAGACAACCGGATGTGTATTTGCTACTCCGTGTTTTTGAGCACTGAGGAAGGAGGAGACCTGAGCAGGGGAGGAGGTTGTTACACATGAGTTGAGTAGTTTAGGCTACTGAAACATGGAAATGTGAATTCCCAAACTTTTCTTTTGGGGGCTCTGTCAGGGAAAAGAAAAAAAAACATTTCTAAGAAATCTTAGGAACTTAGAATGGATTTAAGTGAGTTCAAGTCAAAGCAGTTTCCCAATTGAAATCATTTGAAACCAGTTTTATTCCTTTCCTTCCTTCCTCTAGGTCAAATCAATATTTATTGTGCCTTATTTCATGACCATAGACTTGAATTATTATTAGGGTAAGCCTTCACATGAATTCAGAAGTCACTACAAGCAGCATTGAGACTGAAGTTGGAATATTCTGTTGATCACAAAACCTTGATGTCATTCTGTGTATATAGAATGCAAAAGGAATAGTCAGTGTTAACTGACATATATGTTAATATACCTGAACTTAGTTAGCAATGTCATGGCCAAATACATTCTTCCCATGCTTTACTCTTTCAAAAAAAAAAACAAAAAACAAAAAAAAAAAACAAATCAACAACTCTTATCCCCCAACAGCGGCCTAATTTCAGGAGTCTGACCCTCACATCTCACTAGTGTGGGAGCAGGGTCATGGTGTGGATGTCTGTGTGGGTGTGTCTGGGTGTGTGAGGGTAACTTGCAAGGGACTCTTTTTGCAGAAACTGTAAATACAAGTATCGTTTTGATAAAGCATGTACAATGATTTTTTTTAAAAAGATAGAAATACATGAACAGATTTCCTGTGTTCAAGGATAAAAAGACCGGTTGATAGAAATGTGTCATTCATTCCTAAATTTATCTATATATTTAATGTAACTGCAATAAACATCCAGAAAGGCATTTCTAAGGTGCTCAAGTAGATTCTAAAATTTATGAAAGGTTAAAGGACTAAAACTGTCCATATATTTTCAAAGAAAGAGAAAAAGAAGACTTACTCTTTCCGATATTTATATTCAGTTTAACATCACAATTCTGTAGGAAGAAACACACTGACCAAACATAAAAGAAATTCTACAACCACAGCTACCCATAGATGTATGCAGAAATACACTGGAGACGGTTGGGCAGATCAGAGGTGAGGGTGGGAAAATGGCTCTTCACATGGAACAAGAGGAAATAACACTCCGAGTCAGTGTCTACTGAAATGAATTAAATATTTAAAATTAAAAGGCTCAGAGCAAAACTAAAGTGTCCAGAAAACAATGAAAGGAAACATTATAGTACCTTAGAGTAGAGGAGCATCTCTCACATAAGGCACAAAGAGCACCAAACTTCAAATTTTTAACTGGTAAGTTTGACTCTCTTAAAATTTCAAACTACTACTTATCAGAATAGGCCTTAAGAAAAGAGAAAATGCCAAGCAGAAACTTGGAGAAGATATCCACAATCTGTAACACCTGTGACGACAAGGTGATTGATTCTACAGTCTGTAAGGTATTCTAACAAAGCAAAAAGAAAAAGACAAAGTCTAATTGGAATATAGACAAAAGACAGAACAGGCACTGCATAAAAGGTAAAGTACTTTGAACCAATAAATACATTAAGATATGATCAACCAAATTAATAAACAGGAAAGCTCATGCCACAAAGATACTATCTTGTACCCATTTGATGGAACAGACAAAGACGAGAAGAGAGGCAGAAAAACGAAGAGAAGTCTGACAATTGGAGGAAATGTGGAATTTCTAATATATTCCTGATGGCAGTAAAATGACCTGTCTAATCTGAAAAAAATATCAGCATTTTCCTATTACTTGAATATTCTCACACCTCCTGAACCAGCAATTCCACTACTAAGTGTGCTCCCAAGAGAAACTTTCACCCATGCCCCAGACTACACATGAATATTCAAGATGACACTGTTTTTAAGGCAGAACCCAGGAAATAAGTCAGTTACCCATCATCAACAACAAAAAAAGGTAATGAGAGATGTAGGGGACTGTTGTGATTTTTCAGTGACTGAATACAGCCACATTGGGAGCTACATCTCAAGCTAGGCTACCCAGGGACATATATAGACAACATAATTTGCTTCAACTAAACTGAATTAGTTTGCTCTTACTTTCATGTACAGGAGCGCCTATTTCATCAATAAAAGTCTACTCAAATTCTGAGGATTACGAATTTGACAGAATTAATGGCAAAAACATCAAAGTATTTTGATAAACACAGAATGTGTTTCGATGACACACATCAAGACAGAGCTGGCTTCTGCAAGGGGGTTTTGAACAGTCACGTCAACAAATACAAAGAAAATAGAATAAACTACCAGGAAGGTGACATCTCTATGACTGACTGAGAAAACAGTCCCAGGGCACCCTGTGACCCAGGACAGCCTAAGGAACTCTTTCTCTGGGAATTGGGAAGGCATGGCTGCAGTGTAGATCCCAAGGAGGAAGAGATACCAGCACTGACCAATGTCTGACAAAAGAAGCAGCACCCAGCATACAATACCACCCCAAGAGAGTGAGCAGGTAGCCTGCAACCAGCACAGTCACAGGGGCAGTGTGCCCAGATGCCAAACATGGAGCTGTAGGATTTAGTGTATGCCCTGCTGGGTTGCAGTCTTGCTTTGGTCTGAAACCTCCTTGATATTTTCCTGTTCCTCCCCTTTGAACTGTGAATGTTTACCCTGTTCCTACTTACTATTTCAAATCAGAAGTAACATACTGTTATAACTTAATTTTTATAGCATCCTAAAGCTGAACTGCCTTGAGTCTCAGCATACACAACTTACACTATTGAGCAATGCCAAAGCTGTCAAAACGTTGGGACTCTTTGGAATTTGTGTACAAAATGTGGGTGCATTTTGCTTTGTTAAGATGGACATGAACCTTTCAGGTGGCTATAGTAGAATATCATGGTTTGGTACTGAACTGTTACCCAAAGATTCCTGTGTTAAAGGATTACTTCCCAGAGTAAGTGCTATTGGGAGTTGGTGAAGCCATCTAAAGGTGGGGCCTAGTAGAAGTCTCATAAAGAGCCCCAAGTGCTGTAATCAGAGCTTAATAAGCAATTCAAGTGGGAATTAAGAAGACCCTTAAAGTAGATTATGATAGCCTGATCCCTCCTCCTTACGCCCTTTGCCCTTGATGGGAATTGTAGAACCCTTGACCATTCTTTGTCCTCACCTTCACTCCCTGGCCATCAAGTGAGCAATTTTCTTCCACCACACATTCCCTGTCATAATGGGCTGTTTCAAAAAGAAATGCAGCCGATACATTTTGGAACCTCCAAAACTGTGAGCCAAATTATTAGAAGAAAAAAAGAGAAACATTTCCATTCCTAAGTTGATTATCTCAGAAATGTGTCATTGTGATGGAAAGCTGACCAAAGCATGGAGCTAGTTGTAATATGTCTCTTCTAAGTGGGCAGAGGAAAACAAGAGGTGGTGAACTCCCAGTGGGATCCACTAGAGACTGTTAAATTGAGCACTGACATCTCAGGAATACTGATCTTGCTCCAGTCACACCTTCCCAACCACCCCGGCCAAATGTATGCTCATTGCTAATCCCCCTTCCGTAACCTGCCTCACCATCCACCATGCACTTGATCCATTCCTCCGTGGTAAACCGCATCACTTGGTTCCCTTTCACATGCCAAGGATCAGGCTCCTCAACAAATACGGCACAGCAAAATCTGTCTACATGGAGTGCACAGACGTAGCCACGATGTCTTTCTTCATCATGGACTTCAATGAGTTTGCATGAGTAATTAATCGTCTTCTTCTCTTTACAGAAATGTTGGACAGGAAGCTCCCTAATTGTCTTTTCTATCTCAGAAAGACACCAAGGCTGTACTTCAAAGCCACTTACTTCTTTTGTTTGGCTATCTATACCAAAGAACAAATATCCCCCATCAGTATTTGCAAATGCAGAAACATACTGAGGTACCTCTTCTTTAATGAATTCCAACACATCTTCTCTTTTTCTTTTTTCTTTTTTTCCAAACACATCGTAATCTGGGACTAATTTAGTAGCAACAAGTGTTGATTCAGAAAAGTTGACTTTACTTCTGTATGTAAGTTTTGTCTTGCTACAAAACTCTGAAGGTGAGTCCACCACACTACTTTCTTCATGAACATCAGTAGGGACCTTCATTGCATTCGTTTTTGGTGTTGAAAATAATCTGGATCCAGTTTTCTTCTCTTGGAGGAAAGCCAGTGCATGGGTACCATCCATGACAATTGTAGATGTTCTATTTTTGCTATACAGATTGGTTCTCAACGTGACAATCTGCTGACCAGAGCTATCCAAGCTCCATGATTTCACAAAAATCAAAAATGTGTTAGCATTCTGCATGAAGTCAAGGTAATTTAGAACACGAGGCAGCATATCGCTGAAAGATATTTCCAAATCTTCTCCTATTCCATCTTCATTATACTTATACTCTGTATTCTCAATTTCAGCCTTGATAACTCCTCCTCCAGAATTCAGCAAAGCACACATGGCTCATGAGACAGCCTCTTTCTGCCTTTTTCTCCTTTGTTTGTCCTTCATACTGTTCCTATTCTTCTCTCCAAGAGTGACTTTTCCTACATCTAAAACCAGCTCATTATAATCACTTTCAAAATCAATTCTGATGTTTACGTCCACAGTGGCCATTTGGTTTCCAAGCTGAAATTCTTTCCTGTAAAACTGACAGAGCCATTAGAATGGGACCCATGCAGGAGTAAGCAAATTCTGAATTCTGAGGGAAACAGAGTGAAACCCTTTGTAGAAGTCGCCCTGGACTGGGAAGTACACAGCTAGGAAGTGACAGGTTTGGGGGCAGATTATCACATAAGACCCACAGCTTACACTCTTACTGCTATTTTGATTTTGCTGCCATAGATTTCCGTCATGCTCTTCTAATTCCTTAAAATTTCCCTTACTCTGTGCTTATATCATTCTTTCTGATCATTCATTTTGTATAGATTGTGTTTTCTCTTCTTTCCTTATACAAACCCCAGAAGGGAATCTATATTTTTGAACTTGTCCTTGAGTTAAGTTTTAATTATACAATTGTATCAAGTTTCCATTGTGATTTTAATGATTTCAACTTTTACAGCTTTTACCTTCATTATCTCCTTTCGTAGGGAGTATTGGGGTTTGTTTGCGTGTTGGTTTTGGTACCAGGGATAGAACCCAGGAGTGCTCAACCCCTGAGCCACATGCCCAGCCTTTTTCATATTTTATTTACAGACATGGTCTCACTGAGTTGCTTAGGTCCTCAATAAGTTGCTGAGGCTGGCTTTGAACCTTGATCCTTCCTGCCTCAGCCTCCTGAGCCACTGGGAGACAGGTATGTGCCACCACACCAGGCTACTGTAGGAAGTCCTTTGGGAAAATTGTCACTTGGAATTCTAGGGGCAATCAGCAATATGACATGTTAGTTATTTTTTTCTTCCTGTTAACAATAAATGTGATTCAAAATATTTGGCCCTTGCTCTTAAGCAAAGTGGGCCACGTCACTGTGTCCTTTTCCTATCAGAAAAACCACAATATCTTCAATGAGGGAAAATTCTTACACTCAACCCGTCTGCATTATGGTCTGATTGTCTGTGTCCCCTCAACATTAATATGTTGAAAACCTTACCCCCAAGATGATTAGGCCTTTGGGAGTGGGGTCATGAAGACACAGCCCTTGACCATAGGATTCATGTTTTTACAAAAGAACCCTAGAAAGCGGGCTCAGCCCTTCTGCGATGGGAAGACACAGAGAGAAGCTGGGAATCACCCTGGGAGAAGAGGCCTCACCAGAAGCCAACCATGCTGGCACCTTGATCTTGGACTTGCCAGCCTCCAGGACGGAGAGAGAAATACATTTCAGCAATTTATAAGCCGCCCAGCTCCCAATCAATGGTGATTTGTTACAGCATCCTGCATGTCCTAAGGCAGTCTGCCTTAGTCTGTGTACTTCTGATCCATTAGCTTGTGCCTTTGAGGCCACTGGCATTACTGCTTTCCTTTAGGTTGAAAACTAAAAGATCCTTGGGTTCATCAATAGGTATAGAGACAGTTGATAGAAAAGTCCATCCTAGGTAGTCCTCACTACCCAGAAAATGTTATCAGGAGGTCATAATCTTCCCGGCCACTGCTGGATCAGTAGTAGGCACAAGTGCAAGATATTACTCTATGATTTCCTCATCATGTGACCCAGACCCCAGAACACCTGATAATCCTATGTGAATGATGAGCACTCCATACAGAAAAGAGAGTCATAAGTCCATGTAAGAACAGTTTACAGGGACCAGACAAGCCTTTCAATACATGCCACCCCTCTACAGCATCAGAGTGATCACCATTCAACATAGAATAGGGGGCTCTGTGCTTTTGCCCAAACGTGCTGTGTGACACTAATGCCTTCCTCTGACAGACCTCCCATGTTCTTCCTTCTCCCCTTGGAATTTACACTGCACTGAAATGTGCAGAGAATGGTTTTCAAACTACAGGAAATCTGTATTTTGAAAGTCACTTAAGATAACCAGAAGGAAAGGCTCTGGGGCTTGCTTCGTGATGTGGACACTGACCCTTGGGAGGTTCTGAGCACTCTCCATGCTCTGGAATGCCCACCTTGAAATTTCCCAAGCCCCTTCCATGGCCTGAGGTAAACCAGGACTAGCAGTGTCCTCCTGGGAAGCTGCCCAAACCTAGAGAAGATGGCCCATGTCCCATTTCTCTCATTTTGAATACGACCTTCTATCCAGGGATCCCTGGGCCTATTGGGTTGTCTGGGACCCTGTGGCTGGCTGTGGATCCCAGGAGAACACCCCACAGGACTATTTCTTTCACAGGATCAAGCCAGGTTGCACTTCCAGGACGGTGTCAATAGACTCTTCGTCATTGACCCTAGTTATTTACATGGACAAGGGAGCCCAAACACGTTTGCTAGGTAGAATTCACCACTGAAGCCTTCTGATTCAAGGGTTTTCTTTTGGGGGATTGTTAGCTTGTTTTCATTATTAATTCATTCTCCCTACTAGGTATTGATCTGTTTAGATTTTCTATTTCTTCCTGATTCAGTGTACGTAGGTTGTGTTTCTAAGATTTTCTCCATTCCATCTCTATTTTCTAATTTGATGACATACTCTTGCTCATAGTTCTCACTGATAATCTTTTATTTCTGAGAAAATCACTAGTAAATTTGTTTCTTTCCTTTCTGATTTTAGTACTTTCATTTTCTTTTTCCTTCTTATCAATCTAACTGAAGATTTGCTGAATTTTGTAAAAAAAAAAACTTTCATTTATTGTTTTCTATTTTCTACTCCATTATTTCACTTATTTCTGCTCTAATATTTATAATTTCCCATCTTCTGCTGACTTGTGATTAGTTCTTTCTTTTTGTCTTCCCTGTGTCTCTGAGGTCTAATGTCAGGCTGTTGACTTGAGATCTTTCTTCAGTGTAGGTGTTTACCACTATTCAAAGCCTCCCTGTAGAACTACTCTTACTAGATCTCTAAATTTTGGTATATTGTGTTTCGTTTTCATTTATCTCAAGATATTTACTAATTTATCTTGTGATTTCTCATTTCTCATTTTCTCATTTCAGGAGTGTGCTATTTAATTTCTGTATATTTGTGATTTTTTCCAGCTTTTTGCTTCTATTGGTTGCTCTCCCCCGCCCCAAGAAGGTAGTGGAGATGGGAATAGGAAAGCAATAAAAGGAATTAGACTAATTTTCCTATGTTCATATATGCATATGCCACCAGTGAACTCCACCTCATGTACAACCACAAGAACAGGATCCTAATTAGAGAAAGTTATACTCATGTCTGTATAATATGTCAAAATATACTCTACTGTCATGTATATCTAAAGGACAAATGTTTTAAAAGTTATTATATTTTAAAAATTCTTGCCTTTAATTTCACAGATCTTTTCCCCTTTCCAATTTCTACTCAAATTGGCTCCTGAACCCTTCTTATAAACATTTCAACTCAATTATTGCATTTTTTAGCTCTATTTCTTCTTTGGGTTTCTTTTCATAATTTCAAATATTTGTTGACATGGTCATTTTACTTATATGTTTTTTCCTGAATTCCTTTAGTTCTTAATATACATTTCCTTTAGCTCTCTGGACAAATTTAAGACAGTTGTGGGATTCTGTTTGTATCTTTTTTCAACAGATGACTAAAATTTATGTGTATATAATGTAGGAAAGGTTGTTTTAAAATATGTGTATGTTGTGGGATGATTCAATTAAGGTAATTAACATATTGTTTATTTTACTGATGTGCCTTTTTGTGGTGAGAACACTTAAAACCTACTCTCTGAGTAATTTTTCAAGAACACAATATACTGCTATGACATGGAGTCACTGTTGTACGAGAAAACATGGGGGAAAAGACAATAATCATCCTATTGAACTATGGAGAATGCTCAGCATGGCAGGAATACACATCTTTCTCTGCTTTTTTGTATAAAGATGTCACATTAAAACAATTACTGTTTGAAATTTCAACTGAAACGATTGTGCTTACCTAGCTTCTTGGTTATTCATCTATACCAGGAGTCAAGACTTCTCCTGTAGCCTCAGTTTTTCTGGGAACCTGTCAGAGTTTTAAGTACCTGTTGGCCCTTTTTATGTCTTCATTTGAGAAATGTCTGTTATGTTCATTTTATAACGAGGTTATTTGATGGCTCGAAATGTGTTGAGTTCTTTATATATTTTGGATAGTGAGGCCTCATCTCGAAAAAACAAAATGGAAAAATAAAAACAAAAGAAAACAGAAAAAAGAATGAAAGAAAAGAACAATGAGAGGGCTCATGTCAGCAAAGTGGAGACTAGGAAGCTTCCTCCTTGTGGAAACATCCAAAGCAACAGAAACTGACTGAAGTAAAAGTCAGAGGTTTACAGCAACCACGCAGATGCCCAATCAAGAAGCAGCCACATTCAAACCTGCAGAGAAGATCCTGATGTTTTTTCTTGCCCCTGCCCTTCCTCTCCCTGGCATGGCAAAGTCTCAGGCTGCAGGGGGCAGCAGCACTGTTTGCAGTCCCTTCCCTTGAAGTGCAGGGCCAGAGCAAACCTGATTGGCAGGGTTCTAACCTGCCTGGGCACTGGCTGAAGGATAGGTCTCTGGACCACCTAACTTGGATCTCATTTCATGGGGAAGTGTGCCTTCCACTGCATGTGAAGGTTGTAGGGAGACCACATACCGGTGGATGCCTGGGGCAAGAGATTACAGCTGCAGATGAGCAATCCAAGGCCCATGAGAGGAGCAGAGGGTGGTGAAGATTTGGGGGGTAATCAAGACATTCAAAAGCAGCTATGTATTAGGAGGAATTGAGAAAACTCCATGCAGAATAGGCAGAGTGAATGCTTACAATATACCTGAGAAGACTTAAACTTTGACCTCAAGCTGGTCCCTGGGATCAGAATAGGATCAGCTCATCTGTAAAGAGCTGCCTGGCATAGAGCTGGTCTGCAAAGATTGGGAGACATGGTAGTTTTGTTTTAAATGCCCGATTTTCGGCAGAAGCTCTGCAGGCATGGAAACCAGGGGAACATAGCTCATGCTTATGAAGAAAGTAATTAGGGCACAATTGGGGTCCTTTACCTCATTTCTTCGCATTTCTCCTCTTCTAGTTTATGAACTTCGGGCAGGGAACTACTGTGCTTGCTTTTTCTTTCTGGACCTAGACTGCAGTTCTTCAGTGACACCCCCACATTTCCTCAACTCCACTCAAGTTCAGATCTCCGGGAGGATGGGGCACCCGAGGTGCCCTGGAGACCACACGAGCCTGACCTGCACACTCGGCTAGTGCCTCTCTAACCCCGTCTCCTAAACCACAGACCCCAAGCTCCCTGTCTCAAAGCTGTTTAAGGTCTCCCCTGTCCAAGCAGGGACCAAAGTCCTTCTGGCACACCATACCCCGTGGTCCAGAGTTCAAGGTGACAGTCCTCAATGGCCTGTTAAGGTTTGGGAGAAGGTGATATGAACACTCCAGCAAAGGAGCCAAGTTTCCCAGAAAAGAGAGACCATTCAGTCTGGAGACCGGGGTTGGGGTGAGGGTCTTCCAGAGAGAGGTGGAGTTGTGCTGCTGGTGCCCCACCTCGCCCCAGAGCCAGATGCCTAGACCTAGGGGTGGGAGTAGAGTAGAAAACTAAGGCTGGAAAATGTGGCTAAAGAGCAGGCCTCACTTTCCAGTGCATTGCCCCCTGAAACAAGACCCCTTGCAAACACCAGTGCACCCAGTGCATGCACTGGCCCTTGCATAGCAGGTGAATGCAGGTGCCAGAAAAACCCAGCCAGAAAAGAGAGCACCCTGCCTCAGAAACTTTCTTCCCCAGGCAAAGTGGAGAGGGAAACCTACCGAGCCCGTCTATGTGCTCTCCACAGGGTAGTTGCCCGTAGAGCCTTCCAGCTCTTCTGCTTTCTGTTTCCTGCACCCTGGTACCTTGCACTCTCAGCGCGACTCTCACACAGAATTTTCTAGATCCCACCTTCTATCGGGCTCATGATGCTCCAGGAAGTGAGGGCACTATGCTCAATTGCACAATTGTCATTTGATTGGTCAAATTCGAAGAAGTATCTCCCTGTAGCGGGGTAACTCAGTATTTCCAAACTTTACTCCCATTCGCAGGTCACTTGCTGTCACGTTGCTTAAAATCCCAGGTGCCTCCAGCAACAGGGAGGACAGCTGTCAATGCCTAAACCAAGGGGCAAGGAGAGGCTCCTCCACAGAAGGCAGAGTCCAATGCCTAGAGCTTGTAGAACAAGGAGCATCATGGGGACATCCTTTCACTGAGAGTCTACTATGGCTCCTGTGGTGCGACACAACCTACCTGCCTCTTGTTTCCCCTGGCTCTGGTCCACATTATGGGGGTACGTTTCTCTAGCTTAGCACTTCTCAAAACGTTACCAGAAATCACAAGTCACCGGAAACCACAGCTTTCAAATGCTCAGAAAGACAAATGGCAGTGGAGAGTGTACAAGTCTGAGCTGCTCTCACTGGGGAGCTCCTCCCCAGAGCCCACTGGGACTCAGCTGCAGACTGTTGGAGATAGTCTCTGCTGCACATCTACCCAGGAGGCAAAGCAGACCACCTGTTCACACTCACAACACAGATACTGAGAGCGCAGAGCTGGGCCTCATCTCAGTTCTTGCACTCAGTGAATGGTTACACAACACAATGGTTAACGTAATAGTTACTTTTTATTCCATGTTTTTAGATTGGACAGAGGTTTCACAAGATTTTACTAAGAAAAGAGAAAGAGTAACTTTTGTACATCAACAAGCTTGATTGCAGACATAACTTTTTTTTTTTTTAGTTGTAGATGGGCACAATACCTTATTTTATTTTTATGTGGTGTAAGAATCAAACCCAGTGCCTCACACCTGCTAGGTAAGTGTTCTACCACTGAGCCACAACCCCAGCCCTGCAGACCTAACTTTTACAAGAAAGAGAAACCTGACCTTTACAATAAAGAGGAGCTAAACCACAATGAGCTCTCTAGAAATCCTGTTGACTTTTTAAAAATATCTTGTTTACTAGGAGAAAGGCTTATATATTACCATTAAGGTGGGGATCTTTTGGACACTACATCATTTGGAGTATTTGTGGTACATGGTGATGCCAATGGCAAAGACCAGGACATTCTCAGAGGACAGGCACAGGAACCCTGCACAGAGGAGGGGACAAGGGAACAGGGTCTTTCTCCAGTTCCTGAAGAGCTGGGCCTAAATACTCCACCCCAGAATCCCTGGCCACAGGGGGCCCAGCCCTGGGGCTGCCACAGGCAGGAGTGAGGCAGGACCTTCCATGACCTGAGGGGGATGGATTGGCTCTCCCTACAGGATTTGGAATGAAATAGAGCCCCAGGGTCTTGCCAAGGAAACTTCAGGGGTCCTGAATCTGCTGAGGTTTCCCTGCTGAGCCCTCAAACAGAGCAGAGATGGAGGTCAGGTATCACAGAGTTCCAGACCATGAGAGCTCCAGGGAAACCTCAGGCCCTCTCCCCACTCCTCTCACCCATTCCCTGGTGTCCTCAGTAGAACATTCTTCCCTTTTGCATGGCCACCTCTTCCCTCCCCAGCCCTCCCTGACTCCTCTCCACTTTCCCCTCCACCACCTTCAAGCTATCAGACTTTCTCCCATGTGTGAGTCCAGTTCCTCTGGAGTCACAGGACAGGACACTCTAAGCCAACTTTGGGGCTTAAGGTGTGACCCTTCAGCCTAGGGTCCCCGGCACAGGTCCGACTTCCCCTCTCCACTGCAGGCCAGCTGCAGCACCGCCTGCAAGCACAACCACCCTCCGCCGCAACCTACCCCCACCCGCAGCCCGTCCCTGTCCCTCTGTCCCTGACCCCAGGTCCCTTACCGGCTGGCAAGGCGAGGAGGCTGAGTGCGAGGATGGCACAGTCCACGCCGTGGAGCTCCCACCAGGAACTTGCCCTCACCACGTCCTGCACCAGCCCCTCCAGCTCACCCAGCAGCGCTTCGGCCCCACCATCCCCCTTGGACGCGCCGCGCGCCAGCTCCATGGGCTCCCTGGGCGCACGCTGGAGGAGGACTTGGGCGTGTGCGCTGCAGCACAGGCGAGGCGGGAGCGCGGGCGGGGGCGGGCTGGGGCGGAGTCACCCGCAGAACCGGGGACACCCACAGCCCCCAGGGTCGGAGTGTGGGCACTCCAGCGCCTCCTGGCGCGCGTAATGGAGACCCGGTCCGGCCGGTGCGCCCTCCCCGCGCGCTGCACTAGAACCGCCTCGGGAGGAGCCCAGGTGATGCTCCAGCTGGGGAGGCGACCCTGCAGCGAGAACCAGCCTGGGGTAGAGGGGGCAGGGCTGGGGGAGGGCAGAGACCTCAGTGGAGACTCCCGAATGACTTCCCTGACCACCGATCTCAACTCCCTCCCTTTCTTGGTGTTTGGTGCCCAGAAAGTGAAGATTTCTCTTAATCGCACTGAACAGCCCACCCCACTCCCACAGGACAGGGGTCTTTGTCTTCCTTCCTGAGTCTGCCAACAGGGGACGCTGGATGCCAAAGGGCTTTCCTTGCCTACGCTTTGGCTCCAGCGGCATCTCCAGAAGCTGAAACAGTGATTAGCCCATAAATATTTATGAATTTGTGAAGTAGAAAGTACAAGGACTCCCTCCTCCCAGGATAGGGAGTGGGGTCCCCTCTGAATGTGGCTTTGGTAGAGGTGACCCATGGAAAGTTGACTGCCCAGGCTGGTAATGTGTTGGGAGAGGGGATGAATAGCTATGAAGAAAACCTATTCAAATGTCAGTTCCCGGGTCAGTGGACAGACTCGCTGGGATTCTGGGGCAGTTAGACTCACCCCGAGGTGCCCAGATCTGAACCCAGGACCTCCACAATGCCCCTGAGACTTGAAATCACCTGTCCTAGCCCTTCCCATCGGGCCAGGGCCAGCCAGCGCCTGGCAGAGCTGGAGCCGACCTGGGTCTTCAGCAGATAAGCCTCTGACTTCTACAGACTTCCCTCTGTACATCACCGAGTCCTCTGCATTTTTCTTCTTTGTTATACTTTCCCCCCAGTTTAACATTGAAGCCTTTTTTAAAATAAAGTCTGACGGGAGAGGACAGCAGCGTGTTCAGCAGGAGGCCCTTGGGAAGAGGGGACTGTGAGGGAGGGAGAGGGAGGAGGGGAGGTGATTTTGCTTCCTTCCCTGGCTTGCTCCTCCTAAAAGACAAGGTTTCTTCACCAGGTCGGTGTGCCAAGGGCTCCTAAGTAAACCAATTCTGAATGCATACATGGGCTCTTTAGGGTTTGCCCTTGACTTTCACATGGGAAGATCTTGCCTGTTCCCCACAGTTCTGGAAGGATGACCTCTTCCCATTTATTTTTTAACTTAATTCATCCTCCCTAGTCAACGAACTGATCTCCTGACACCCAGTTACAAAAGGATAGACCTAGAGCTCAAATCCAGGACATCTCCTTCAAATCCAATAATCTTTGGTGCACATCAAAGGTTCTTAGACAGGGGGGAAAGCCCCCCTTCTCCTTCCCTATCCCACCCCACCTTTGAATTTCTCCCCCCACAACATGCTAGAATTTTTGAGGAGATATATGTGATTTTATAAGCATATTCACATACAATATTGGTACCACACATTTATAAGGAGAAGCCCACACTTTTATCATGTGTATGAGGAACTTCCTGGTACCAACAGGCCCCTCTCCAGGCCCGCTTCTCCCTGGACATCTAGCTTGTACTGTGAGGGGGCAAAATTTCCATCCCTGCACCAGAAAAAAAGTAAATAAATAGGGGCTGGGGCTGTAGCTCAGTAGCAGAGTGCTTGCGTAGCACATGTGAGGGACTGGGTTCAATCCTTAGCACCCCATAAAAATAAACAAAATAAAGGCATGCTGTCCAACTAATTTTTTTTATTAAAGAGAGAGAGAGAGAGAGAGAGAGAGAGAGAGAGAATTTTCTTTTAATATTTATTTTTTTAGTTTTCGGCGGACACAACATCTTTGTTTGTATGTGGTGCTGAGGATCGAACCCGGGCCGCACGCATGCCAGGCGAGCGAGCTACTGCTTGAGCCACATCCCCATCCCTTCCCCCCACCCCAATTTTTTTTAATAAATAAAGAAAGGGCACAGTGGCACAGGTCTGTAATCCCAGCTACCAGGGAGGCCGAGGCAGGAGGATCTTAGGTTCGATGCCAGCCTGGACAACTTAGCAAAACCCTGTGGCAAAATAAAATAAGAGCCAGGGCTGTAGCTTAGTGATAGAGCACTTGCCCAATACTGAAGAAAAAGAAGAAGGAGAAAGAGTGAGTGCCAACCAGCAGCAGAGCAGGAGAGATGCTCAGAGGAACCAGGAAGCCCCGTGGGGTGGGGCTCACAGGCAGCCTCCCTGCAGAGAAGCAGACTTGATTTAGAGCAGACTTAACCCTGGGGGAGAAAGAAGCAGACAAGATATTCTACTGATCAGTAGAAAAGGCAATGGAAGGAAGGCGGCAGAGACAGGCTGAGGCCAGGGGCTGGAGTTGCCTTGAATGGCAGATGAGGAAGTGGGGCTGGCCCTGAAGACTTGGGGAGCCGTAGCAGGTCTTAGAGCAAGGGAGTGAGGTGTGTACTGTGGTGTTTAAGAAGGTTTGTCTGGCACAACCGAGAAGTCCCTGGAATGAGGAAGGCAAATTTGAAGAATTTTTTAGTTACTCCAAACGAAAAAATGCTGAGGTTGTAGATGGCAGAGGCAGCGGCTATGAAACGTATGATGGGGACATAAAATAAGGAAGGCTTGATCAGACCATCCCCCAGAGAAAAGGCTCAGATGGCCAAGAAGCACAGGAAAACATGCAAATGCAAATTAAAGTCCCAATAAGGCCGGGCACAGTGGCACACACTTATAATCCCAGCGACTCAGGAGGCTGAGGCAGGAGGATTGAGAGTTCAGAGCCAGCCTCAGCAACTCAGCGAGGCCCTAAGCAACTCAGTGAGACCCTGTCTCTAAATAAAATACAAAAAAAGGGGCTGGGATTATGGCTCAGTGGTAGAGCACTCGCCTAGCACGGGCGGGACCCGGGTTCAATCCTCAGCACCACATAAAAATAAAGGCATTGTGTTGTGTCCATCTACCCCTAAAATATAAATATAAAAAAAATAAAATACAAAAAAGGGCTGGGGATGTGCTTCAGTGGTTAAGCGCCCCTGGGTTCAATCCCTGCCACATACACACACACACAAGCTTCCATAAGCTAGCTAGCCCTTCAGACCCACTGGGATGGCTAAACTGAAATAAATGGCAAAGTTAAGTGCTGGCGTGGCTGGGAAGCAGCTGGCCTCTCATCCATTGCTGATGAGAGGTTGAAGTGGCCCAAGGCTTTGGAAAACAGTCTGACCGTTTCTTATAAAGTTGACTATACACCTACCTTACGACCCAGCAATCACTCCCAGGTATTTGCCCAGGAGCAGTGAATACACATGCCCAACACCAGGTCTGGTACAGGAATGATGGAGTGACCGTCACGGCGTTGTTTATTATAGCCAAGCTGGAAACACTCTAAACATCTGTCCACGGGGAAATGAATAAATGAGCCATGATGCATTTGCATAATGTGTACCATAAAAAGGAGCAATAACTACAGGCCAGGATGCAGATGGCATGGTAGGTGCCAAGGAGAGATGCCAGACAGACAGCCCACTTACCCTACAGTCCCTTCATAGGAAGCTCAGGAATAGGCCAAACGAATGCTCAAGGATAGAAACCACATCAGTGGTTGCCAGGGGTACAGTTAAAATGGGTGCATTTTATTATATCTAACTACACCTCAAGAAAGCTGATTAAGCAAAAACAAACAGCAAGGAAGGTTTTCTTTTAAAACAGAGAGAGCTTTTTTGGAGGTGGACGCAAGCGTACCCGAGGTATGTACTCAAACAGAAAGGCAGAGAAACACAACCGTTTCAAAGCAGCTGTCCCCGGACAGGCAAAAACTGGGAACAACTCAAACGTCCACCGTCAGTAGAACAGATAAATAAAACACAGTGTGTGCACGCCCCGGAGTACTACACGGCCCAAACCTAGTGTGCAGCAAGGTGAACCTGACACAGAAGAGCACAGGCTGGGTGGTTCCACTTACATGAAGTTCAAAACCAGACCCAGCCGGGACAGGGGGTGCCCCTTAGGGTAGAGCACGTGCCTACCATGCGCAAGGCCCTGGCTTCACGCCTCACCAACAACCAGGCAAAACTAATTAGTGACTAATGACTAATTCTAATGACCTGGAAGTCAGGTGCCTGCTGCTGATTAAGGGTAGTGACTAGAAAAGGACAGGAGGGGGTTGGCAAATATTTTGTTCCTTGTTCTGAGTTCTAGTTACACTTGGATGTGTTGGTTTGTAAAAAGTCACCAAACTCTACTTATGGATGCATTTTTCTTTTTTTTTTAATATTTATTTTTTAGGTTTAGGTGGACACAATATCTTTATTTTTATGTGGTACTGAGGATCGAACCCAGTGCCTCACGCATGCCAGGCAAGTGCGCTACCACTTGAGCCATATCCCCAGCCCCTGGGATGCATTTTTCTGTAGGCATATTTTAATTACAATTTTTGTTGTTGTTGTTATTATTATTATTATTATTATGTTTGGGATAGAAACACAATAATAGGGCCTTGTGCATGCCGGACAAGCTCTCTACCATGAAGCTACACCCCCTGCCTACAATCTTAAACCCAGGGGCCTTCTGCCACTGAGCTACCTCCGCCCAAGCCCTTTTTTAGTTTGTTTAAGACAGGGTCTGGCCAAGTTGCCCACACTGGCCTTGAACTTGTGATCCTCCTAACTCAATCTCTCTAGTCTCTGGGATGTCACACATGCGCCTCAGTACCTGGCTACAATTTTATTTCTGAAAAATAAAATTTAAAAAATAAAGTTCTTTTAGTAGTATGAATCAGAGGCATGAATTGTGAACACAGCGCAAAGAAGCACGGGAATGTGAGACACCTGGGTTCCCTAGGCCACAGGGGTTGGAAGCTGAGTTGTGTAGATGGCAGAGAAGCCAGTTTACCCCTGCCAGCTGCCACCTGTCACCAGAGTCTGGGTGACACCTTGTCCTCTCCCACTCTGTCACCCCACTCTGACCTCTCAGCCCCCTGTCCTACCCTTTCTGCTCACAGAGGTAAGGATGAATTGCCCAAGACCAGCTAAGAGGCTTTGGGTGGCTGGCCACAGGCCAGGACTGATCTAATCTGTCTGTTTGGCTCCTCATGACAGGCCCCGAGGTGCAAGGGAGCAGGCTGGGGCGGGCTTCTCGACCTCTGCTCACAATGGGCTACAGAAGAGGCTTCCAGAGCCGCCAGGTATCTACTCCTCCAAGGCCCCTCCTTAGGCCTGCCTCTGTCCCCATCCAACCCCTAACCTGTCTGCACAGGACTCTGCATGTGAAGAGCATGGCTGGGCTTTGGAGTCAGGCACCCTTACTAGCTGTGGACCTTGGATGAGTTACTTAATCTCTCTGAGCCTCAGTAGTATCATATACACCAGAGAACAAGCTCTTAAAGGCATAAGAAGAATGTCAATAGGAATTTTATTATTTACACATATATCCCAATAGATTGTTACGCGCACACACACACACCCCTTTGGAGCCCACTCCAAAGGCTGTGATCGTTGCTACTTTTGACAAACATAAGGTCATTTAGGCTGGGGTGCTGCTCACTGGTAGAGCACTTGCCTAGCATGTGTTAGGCCCTGGGGCCCACCCCTGTCACTGCAAAGAAAACACTTTTTAGGGCTGGGGTTGTGGTTCAGCAGTAGAGCGCTCGCCTAGCGTGCGCGAGGCCCTGGGTTTGATCCTCAACACCATGTAAAAATAAATAAACAAAATAAAGGTGTTGTGTCTAACCAAAAAATAAATATTAAAAAAAGAAGAAGAAGAAAACACTTTTTAGACCTCAGACTGTAGTATTCAGCTTGGCCTTGGGGAGCCTCCAAGTTCCAGCTTCATCTCCACTGCTCTAGGGCACCAGTGACTGCTCACTCTCCTCGGACCCATGGACAGGGCCTGCCCTTTCTCACTTGTAGGTATGGACTCCCAGGCTAATTGAGGCTGATTGTCTCTACTCCCACCCCACCCGAACCCTGCTCATCTTCTGGGCCTCCGGCAACATTGGCCACCATTACAAAGCTCTTCTAATGTTCTCGTGTATTTTGCTCATGCCACCAGTTTTACTGAACACCTACTGAATGTCAGGCATTTGGGCTTTGGGTATCTTTTCCCTTCTCTGACTTCATGCCATCTCCCAGCTAGTATTAGGCCTCAGTGGTCATATACTGCCTGGCAAGAAGCCCTCTCAGACGCTGTGACCCAGCCACAGAAGTCAAGGTGCTCCTTTTGCCTGTATTAGGATAAGTAACAAGCATCCCAGCTGTTGTAACAAACATCCCCAGCTTTTCAGTGGCTAAACACAATGCAGGGTAACTTCTTTTCTTTCTTCCTCCCTCCTCCTCCTTCTCCTCCTCCTCTTTCTTCTTTCTTGTAGTGCTGGGGACCAAACCCAGGGCCTTGAGCTGCTAGGCAGGGCTCCACATCTGAGCTATTTCCTCAGCCCTCTTGTTCTTTGTCCCCCCTCCTTTTCCCCCCAGCATTGAAGACTGAGATAAGGGCCCCACAGATGTTCTCTACCCCTGGCCTACGTCCCCGGCTCCCAGGATACTTTCTTGCTCAAGTCACACAGTGCAATATGGGTCAGGTGGCTCTCCTCCAGGTGGGACCAGGACGTTCAGACCTTTTCAGCTTGTAGTGACTCCGTCTTGCACACAAAGCCACTGTGGTTGCCATGGCAGTGGAAAGGAGAGGGTGAAACCATGTGGTTTGAGCTCCAGATCTGGAAGGGGCACATCACGGCTATCCTCGCTCCGTCAGCCAAAACCCAGGCAGAGAGCCCCAACAGATCCTCAGGCAACTGGGAACGGGGGACTCCCTGGGAGCTTCCTGAGATGAGGAGCCTGCACCCACCTTCTTGTAGGGCTCATCAGGCATTCAGTGAATGGAGGGATCCATGGGAAGAGGGGAACAGGCTTGAAGGGATGAAGGAGGAGGTCAAAGACTTTTAAAAGACATTAGATGGAGAGACGCGGTCCAAACCTGAGACCATCGGGTACCATCCAATGTACCTGAGTGGGGAGGTGGCACCCTCCTCCCAGCCCCAGTGGACTGGGCAGCTCTGGACACACCTAGGCAATGGGGGAAGGATGGATGAGCCGGGTTCACCTGCCGGGGCCCTCGGGAGATCCCCATCCCAGGGCAGCGATGATTCCTCTCTGCTGTGATTTGGATCTTTATGTGTTGGGTTTGTTGGGGTTCATTAGTTTTGTGGCTGGGGTGTGTCCAGACTTCCTTTTAAGCCTTAGTCCTTTATGAATTTTTTTCAATTAGTTATATATAACAGCAGAATGCATTTTGACTATTAAACACCAATGGAGGCAACTTTTCATTTCTCTGGTTAGACACAGTGCACAGTCACCCCATTCCTGCAATCATACATGTACATAGATTAATACAATCCACCTCATTCCACCATCCTTCCCACTCCCATATCCCTCCCCTCCCACACTCCCCTCTGCCCAATCCAAAGTCCCTCCCATCTTCCCTTGCCCCGCCCCCCATTATGGGTTAGCTGTGTGTTTGGTGGTTGTCAGTCCTGTAGTAAAGACCAAGGAGAGGACTGTGCATATGACAGAAGTAAGGGGTGGCAATGCACCACAGTATGGGAGCCCTCTTACAGGACGAAACAGTCCATTTGTCCTGTTGCTTAGTTTATTTTCCTCCTTGCATTGATCAGCCAGCCCTCAAGTGGCTGAAGCAGGGCTGCTGTTTCCTCAAGCTTTGGTGTGTGCAGGCTAGCCAGCTTCCAGGGTGACCAGAGCAGGGCTAGTGTCCTTCTGATCCTCAAGCTTCTCTGCTGTTTCCTTCTTCCTGATGGTCAGCTGAAGGGGAGCAAAAGAATGGACATGAGATTCTATTACAGACAGCCTAAAAACAAACCAAAAAGACAAAATATTACATAATACACTATGTATATGTGTGCGAGTATATATATATATATATGTGTGTGTGTGTGTGTGTGTGTGTGTGTGTACACACACACACATACATTTGGTGATACTGTAAAGAGGAGCAAAAAAGTTGTGGACACTGCTCCCTGTGTGTGCGGCAGAGGTGGGGGATATCCTGGAAGGTTTGAACTACATAGATTTATCTCAATGTAACTTTAAACAAATTTGAAAACAGCTTTTAATTCCATGAGCCTGACCCAACATTTCATGCTTTGGTTTATGACCTTCCATATATTATTATTTCCTCTAAAAACATGATGTAAATTTCAACTCCCTACCTCACAGGTCAGTTGTCATCCAAAGGTGCACTTCTAGGTGTGTCACCTTTAGTCTGAGAATATATTTCTGCATGGAAATATTGCTGAATGCCTACCTGGCTCCCAAGGTGAGGTAGTGCAGAACAACTTGATTTGCCCATGGCTTATTGTCGGGAGCTGCCTTGGATGCAGACGCCTTTAAGCCCTGATGCACCGGGTTCTGAACAATTATTGCATTCAGTCTGGCAGGGCAGTGCCAGGTTGCAGTAATGTGGGCGTCACCCCAGCTCAGATAACAAGGCATGGCTCCAGGTGTAGGCATCACCCACTGGGGTTGAGTTACACTCATCTGTTCCCTTGTATTCCGACCCCTTTGCCCTTTTGGGGATAAAATGTTCTATGGAAACTCCCCTTGTGTGTCTCCTATGTAACAATAAAGAATTCCAGTGGTTCTATGTCTTTCCATGGGCCCTTACGTTCACAGAGCCACCCCCGGATTATTGAAAAGGTAATTCTGTGTGGTTGTGTGCCTTCTTTGTCATTTTCTTAAGTTATTGGAATAGTCAGATTTATGAACCACGCATTAGGTCTCCAGCTATGACAGATGGTGATAGCTTATCATCCTCACCATCTTTGTTTTACCAGATGCAAAACCAAGGTTGTACCTAGTTCTGGACCCTGGACAAGGTCACCCAGTTAAAAGGGATGTGAATTCAGCTCTACCAACTCTGATGCCTTTGCCTCTCCCCACACTACCCTTTGCAAGACAAAACTAGGTAACATATTTTTCCTTTCTTGATAATCTCATGGAAGAAGCCAATGTCAGACTAAGTTTGGTAGTTCTAGGAGGGTATTTTCCCAAGAGGGGGCTTTTCCCCAAGTCCAGGTGGGTGGAGTCTGTCCAGTCTGGCTCATACTACTGCCCAGAGCCCAAGAGCCCAGATGGCTTTCTCTGGAATCCAGAGTCCTCTTCAGAGAGGAGTGTGAGGGTGAGTTAGGAAGCTGCTTCCCGGCTGGACTCCCAGAGCAGCCAGAGATCCCTCTCCAGCTTGCCCCGCAGGGTCAAGGTCCAGAGGAGGCCAGTAGCTCCACCTCTGCCCCCTCACCAGCAGGCTGGACCCACCTAGCCCCGCCCACTGCCTGCTGTGAGGACTGCAACCTTTGTTTAAAGTACTCACTTGTTTTCCTTGGATGAGTTCCCTGAGTCAGCACAACTCCTACTCAAGGGCCCAGAAGGACTGGTGGGTGGTCCTGGGGGAGGAAAGGCAGGAAGCAACCGGTGGGCACTGATGAGGCGACTGCGATGGAGACTACCCAACTTCCCAGCTTCTGTGGTCTTGGGCAGCACAGCAGCATCTTTGGGATGGAATCACTGAAGAGGCCTCATGGAGTGGTAGCATCTGGTGGCAGCAGCAGCAACATGTAGCTGCTTCAGGCGTCGGGCATCAGGCGAGGGAGGTCCGGAGTTGAGAGTTGGCGTGGGGGTGGCAACAGCTGAGGTGTTGGCATCCAGCTGCAGTTTGGGAGATCCCTTGCTGCATACTCACAGTGGCGGTGGCAGCAGAAGAGTCCAGAAGCTGCCGTGGTGACAACAGAGGGATGTTGCCATGATCATTTCTGTCTTGCAGTGCCACAGGAGTCTGGCTGCTGCTGGGAGCCATTAGCCAAGTAGGTATGACAATTTCCTTGCCAGCGTACCCCATGTTGCAGTGACATTGAATGTACGTGACCTTGCTCAAGGACCAAGGCAGATTAGGGTGTTCCCGGTTTTAAGATAAGCGTGTTTAGGGCGTTCCCAGTTTAGGTTCCAGGTTTAAGGTTTAAGATTATTCCTGCTGGGAATAGGGCGTATCCTGCTGCCTGAGTTCCCCTTGAGTTCTCACGGGATTTAGACAGTATATTTTGGAGATAGAAGCCCAGTGGAGGTGGATTTGGGCAGAGAACGTGGATTTGGGCAGAGAACGTGGATTTCCCCAGAACGTGATTGTAGACGGCTGGTGTGAGTTCGGGAATAAAGAGTTGCTGTTTGAATCTACAAGCTGTGTGGTGGCTCGTGATTGTGTGCCCAGCCAGACTGCGGCATTTGTGCCCAGCCAGACTGCGGCAGGCTGCAGTGGGTGAAGTGGGCATCCAGTGCTGAGTATCGCTGTCTTGCGTCCATGATGGAGTCTGGTGGTGGCAGCAGCAACATGCAGCTTCATCCGGGAGCCGGCATGGGGCACTGGAGTCAGGCATCATGGCGGGGGGTGAAGGGCATTGACGTTGGGCCCTTGGTGGGCAGCATCATAGTCCAGCTGGGGTTTGGGAGTTTGGTTGCTGCACGGTGGCGGCAGCACCAGTAGAGTCTGGAAACGGGGCTGAGGACACAGAGGCGTCCAGTGGTGAGCATCTTCATCCTGCTGGGGTAACAGGAATCCTGCTGCAGTGGCATCTGGCGACCATGTGGGGAGTCCGGTGGCTACAGTGAAGAGCTCCAGGCTGGCGGCGGCAGCGAGGGCGCAGGGCAGTGAGCCTCAGAGTGGAAGGGCGACGAGAGGCTGGAGTGGCCTCTGCAGTGGCCGTTCCAGGCCCTGGGTCTTGGTCCTGGCTGAGCGGCCTGTTCGGGAAGCAGCACGAGGGGGGTGGCAATACCCAGGCAGCTGCTGAGGACCTTAGGCTGCCCACACCTGCCTCGCCTGGCACTGGCCATGAGCCCGCCGGGTGGCTGCTCGCCCCATCCCCGATGTGGCCTCTGCAGGGGAACTAGGCCATCTGCCAGGTGGGGCAGCCTTGGGAGAGGACCCCCACCTTCCTAAGAGACATCCCACCTGGGCTGTGGGGGGAGAGAGCAGAGGAACTAGGACCTCTTCATCCTCAAAGTGCATTTCTGATGGGAAGCATTTCCTCTCAGAACTGGAACAGGACAAGGATGCCCTCTCTCACCTTCTACTCTACATAGTCCCTGATACTCTAGCCAGAGTTTAAACTATACTGCTGTTTAAACTCCACTACAGCTTACACTACACGACAGAGCTGTAGATGAAAGAAATTAAAGGGATAGGAATAGGGGAAGAAGAACTCAAACTATCCCTATTTGCTGACGACATGATTCTACACATAGAGGATCCAAAAAAAACTCCACCAGAAAACTTCTAATATTAACAAATTCAGCAATGTCACAGGATATGAAATCAATATTCATAAATCAAATGCATTTCTATCTATTAGTGATGAACCCTCTGAAAGAGAAATTAGGAAAACTATCCCATTCACAATAGCCTCAAAAATGAAATATTTGGGTATAAATTTAACAAAAGAGATGAAAGACCTATACAATGAAAACTAAAGAAAGAAATTGAAAAGACTTTCAAAGATGGCGGACCAGAGGGAAGCAGCATCTGTGTTGCTCTGTGATCCAGATCTCTCCTAGTAGGAATTCTGCATCTCTTGAGAGTGTTAGAGGCCCCTGTACAGCTTCTCTCTACAGAAATGACCAGCGCTGTGACCTCGCGCAGGACTCAGGGCCTCAGTGTCCGAGCAGGACCCAAAGCCAAAGTTGCAGTTCACTTAAGACTTGGCCAGCGCCTTAGCAGAACCACCTACCAACACATCTGCAGACCGCCGAGACTCGCTCCACTCCCACGCAGGTCACTCAGCTGCTACCTCCCCACAGCACAAGGCCATCGGTTCCCCTGACATCACCAGACACCCCGGCTCTGGAAGCACACCGACTACATCTTGGAAAGCATTCCTTGCCATTTTGAGGTGGGCATGGCTATCGGATCCCTCCCCTTTTGAGCAGGTACCTGATTCCAATTCCTCCCTCATGGAATTAATATTGTCAAAATGGCCACACTATCATAAACCTTATACAGATTTAATGTGATTCCAATTAAAATCCCAATAACATTCCTCATAGAAATAGAAAAAGTAATCATGAAATTCATTTGGAAAAATAGACACAGAGAAATCCTTATTGACAAAGCAATCCTTAGCAAGAAGAGTGAAGTAGGACACATCACAATATCAAACCTTAAACTATACTACAGATCTGTAGTAACAAAAACGGCATGCTATTGGCACCAAAATACACATGTAGACCAATGGTCCAAAATAGAAGATACAGAGAAAAACCCACATAAATGTAGTTATCTCATTCTTGCCAAAGGTGCCGAAAACATACATTAGCTAAACGATAGCCTCTTCAACAATGGTGCTGGGGAAACTGTAAATCCATATGTAGCAGACTGAAATTAAACCACGATCTCTCACCTTGCACAAACACTCAAAGTAGATCAAGGACCTAGGAATTAGACCAGAGACCCTGTACTTAAGAAATAAAATCAAGAATTAATAATGGGATGGATTCAAACTTAAAAGCTTCTTCTCAGCAAAGGAAACAATAATATGAAAAGAGAGCTCACAGAGTGGGAGAACATCTTTACTACACACACATTAGATAAAACACTAATTTCCAGGATATATAAAAAACTCAAAAACTTCAACACCCAAAGAATAAATAACCCAATCAATAAATGGGCTAAGGAAATGGACAGACACTTCACAGAAGAAAATACACAGTCGATCAACAAATATATGAAAATATGTTCAACTTCACCAGAAATTAGAGAAATGCAAATCAAAACTACTCTAAGACCATCTTACTCCAGCCAGAATGGCAGTTAACAAGAATACAAGCAACAATAAGTGTTGGTGAGGATGTGGGGGGAAAGGTATACTCATACATTGCTAGTGGCATTGCAAATTGGTGCAACCACTCTGGAAAGCAGAATGGAGCTTCCTCAAAAAACGTGGAATGGAACCTCCATTTGACCCAGAAATTCCACTCCTCAATCTATACCCAAAAGACTTAAAATCAGCATACTAGAGTGATGCAGCCACATCAATGTTTATAGCAGCTCAAGTCACAGTAGGTAAACTGTGGAACCAACCTAGAAGTCCTTCAAGAGCTAAATCGATAAAGAAAATGAGGTATATGTGCACAATGGAATCTTAGCTTTAAAAGAGAATAAAATTATGACACTTGCAGGTAAGTGGATGGAGTTGGAGAATATTATGTAAGTGAAAAAAGCTAATCCTCAAAAACAACAGGCTGAATGTTCTCCCTGATAAGTGGATGCTGATCCATAATGAGGGGGGCAAGGGAAGAATGGAGGAACTTGGGGCAAAGGGGAAGGATAGGAGGGACGGGCATGGGGTAGGAAAGAGGGTGGAATGAGAGGGATATCATTACCCTAGGTACATGCAGGACTGCACATATGGTGCAACTCTACATCGTGTTCTACCAGAGAAATGAAAAGCTGTGCTCCATTTCTGTACAATGAACCAAAGTGAATTCTGCTGTTATGTACAACTAATTAGAGCTAATTAATTTTTTTAAAGTACATTTCTTTGTCTAAGGGTGGCAGAAGACCAAGACCAAGGACGGCACGTCTTGGGGTTCCCTCTGCCATCTATGCCCTCCACTCTTGTCCCGCCCCAGGGATGCGCTTTGAGGGGGAGGATTTGTAGCCCCACCCCCCACTGCCTCTGCTCTCAGTGGCCACAGCCCAGGAGAGATGTCGCTGGGGAGGGTGGGTGTCCTCTTTAAAGGCTGCCCCGGCTGGCAGCGGGCCTACTTCCCCCGCAGAGGCCGCAACCCAGGGAGGGGCAGGGCGAACCCGGGGTGGGGCGAGCTGCCACCCGGGGGGCTCAGTGCCGGTGCCAGGCGCCGCCTGCGTGCTCAGCATAAGGTCCTCAGGGGCTGTGTGGGTACCGCCGCCTGCCGTGTCCTGCTTCCTGAGCAGGCAGGCCCTGCCAGGAGCAAGACAAGTGGCCTGGGGCAGCCACAGCACAGGGCACCCCATCCTCTGGTCGCCCTCTGACTCTGAGGCCCGCTGCCCTACGCTGTCGCTGTCGCCACAGCCAGCGCTCCACACTGTGGCCACTGGAGTCCCGACCTGGCCACCAGAAATGCTGCCAACACCTCCACTGCACTGGAAGCAGACTCCCGCCACCGCCAATGGATGAGGATGCTCCTATTTGGACGCCTATTTCCATGCAGCCACCGATTCAACTGGACTCCCCAAAGGGCCTTAGGGCGCCTAGGCTCCCTGATGAACGACCTGCCCGCAGAGGGATGCCGCTGGTTGCTGGGAACCTCCAATGTGGAACCCTAATGTGGAACGTTGAGGGTGGCTGCTGTTCACTTCCACACTGCAACTGGACTCCTCCACAGGTGGCGCCTACACCTCCAGGCTTGGGGAGGGTGTGGGCACCCCATTTTATCTGTGCCACCTGTTCATCCTGCCAGGGGATTAATTCACTAATTGGCTTTAGGCTCTCATAACAGGATCATTTCCCCTCTAAACCTTCTTGCATTGTCTCACCCATGAGCTTTTGGGGGACACCGAGAAACTCAACCATATCGCGTCTTCATCAGATAGCTTAGCAAGATCTTCTTCATGACTTGCTGTAGCTTCTACATCAGCAATTTCTGCTTCACCCTGCACTTGTCTTATATGGAGATGGGCCGCTTGCTTCGAACATCATGAACCAAATTCTGCCACCTTCAGACTTCTTCTGGAGCTTTCTCCCTTCTCTTGGCATCAGAAAAATCTAATGTTTGGGCCTTATCTGGATGCGGTTTTGGCTTAAGGGAACGTGGCTTGTTTCACCTGTTCTCCAGACTATGAAAACTTTATCCCTATCAGCTGTTTTGCTTTCTTATCATTCACCTATGCCCTGGAGCAGCACTTTAATTTTCTTTATGAACATTTCCCTTGCATTCTCATTGGGACTAATTATTCAAGAGGCACAGCTTTTTTTTTTTTCTTTTCTTTCTTTCTTCTTTTAATAGTTTTAGATCAACAGCATGCCTTTCTTTGTTTAGTTGGTTTTTTTTTTTTTTTTTTGTAGTGCTAAGGATTGAATTCAGTGCCTCATACATTCTAGGCAAGCACTCTGCCACTGAGCTACAGCCCAGCCCAAGGCACAGCTTTCTATTTGGAATGCAAAACTTGGAACTCTTCCTTTTATTCCAACTGTTCAGTCCATTACAGAGTAATTAACTGGTCTAACTTCAATATTGTTAGACCAGTTAATTACTCTGGTGAGTCATGATCTGTGGAGCAATAAGAAGACACATATTAAGTTTGCTGTCTTATATGAACAGGGTTTGTAGTGTCACATGACATCTAACCCAGTTAACGTCACAGAACACAGTAGGGGATAAAATGCCCTGAAATCCTCACCACCCTTTAGGCAGTCATCTCGGCTCCATGCACAGGGGCCCCACAGGACCCCTGTGCTCTAAGGGGGCTCTCCATCTTCAGCTACTCAGTGCTGGGGGTGGCACAGCCTGGTGAATGGATTGAGCACTATTGTGTCAACATAAATGTTTGTTACTAAAATACTTACAATGCCATCCCAGACATTTAAAAAAAACCACCATCACAAAAAATAAAATAGACAGTTTTAGTGGGAGGAGGCGGATAGCTGTGGTGGGGCATCTGGCACAATGCGCAGGTGCTCACACGTGGGAGGTGCCCTCAAGGACTTTAGAACTAGGGCAGCGAGAAAACATTCTAGGAGAAGTGGAGGCTTCTGGTCTAATCGTTTCTTGACCCCCTGCCTCTGGCATTTGTGTGTGTGTGAATTTTATGTAGCTGCCAGGGAAGATGGCTGACTTTGAAAGAATGGGATGGCAGCTTGGGTCACCACCTGTACCAACTGGAAGATAATGATGTAAAGGGCCTCTCCTTCAGCTGGAACCTCCCAAGGCCCCCTGCATGGGGAGCTTCCCAGAGAGTGTCCAAGCAGGTCACATGCAGCAGAGCAAAGGGGGCAAAACTGTGAGGCACATGTGTGGGTAGGATTCTCCCCTCACTTTCTGTCCAGTCTCTATACAAAAAAACATGGGCAATCCAGCTGGGATTGGCTGTGCTGGAGAGGGATCCTCACAGGGCCTGGCTCTGAGGCTCCAGCCACGCCTCTCTTCCTTGGGTACCCAGAATCCCACCACAGCTTGCTTTGTTCCTTCTACAGAGTAAGCCCCAGACCTCTGTCCTCTGCTGGGAAACAACAGGGTAGACCCTGAGGTCTGCCCAGCCATCCTCTACAACAGCCCCCCAAGTGACCACTCTGGAGACAGCAGCCCTCCCTCTTGGCCCAAAGATCACTCACTTCTTGTCTTGAAGGTACTCCTCCTCAACATATGGCTGGAGGCGTCCATACCTAGAGAATACCAGGAGGCTGTGACCTCTAATATCCTGTGTCCCTCATCTGTCGAGATGCCTGGTGGACTTGACTAACTTACTGACAATAACGGGAGCTCAGGAGGGCTGGGAGAGTTTGTCTGCACTGATTCCTAAATGATAGGCCAAGTGCCTGCCAAAGGTAGGTGCTTCATATATATTTGAGCCATGAATGAACCCACCCACCTGCTGCCTGGCTACCTCAGGGCCAGGACCCTCTCAGTTGACCCCAGGGGTCCCTGTTCTGTCTACAGGCAGGTTGGAACCCTCCCAGATGCAACCCACAGACTCCTTCCCAAATGTGGAAACTGCTTTTCCTGAGGCCTCAGAAGAGTGAGGTCTGAGGCAGAGAACTTCCTCTCAGGGAGGGGACAGGCCCCCAGGGAAAGGCCAGAGCCATCGCCAGCCTGTGTCCCAGGACCACTCTGAGGCAAACACTCCTAGGGCTCATCCTACTTGGATTTCTAAACACCCAGGCAGAGTTCTCCTCTGAAAAACCCTACTTTCCTCAGAGCTGACGGAGGTTCAGAGTGATGCCCGGCATTCCCAACACCAGGCCAGGAGATGGCCATGGGCCAGGGCTTGGAGGTCATACACACCTTTTACCCAGCAGCTCCAGAGCCTTCTGGGTACTGGCCAAATCTTGGTACAAATACAAAACCCCATGGACATAGGGGGTGTTCCCCTGCTGCAGGGCAGGCACCAGGCCGTCCTCGAGCTCCCAGAGAAGTACTGTGAGGGTTTCCACAAGACAGGACACATCCACTGATGAGCCTTGGTCATCTTCTCCCTAGGATGGGCAATCAAAGAGGGACATTTCAACAGGAAAACGGTAGCCATTTGCAAAAGGAATCACTGCCATACGTCAGGGGAAATCAAAATATTTTCCCTCCATATTCTCAGGAGACATCACACACACACACACACACACACACACACACACACACACAAACCTGGTGAGATCTGGCACTTTTGAAAGGGGAATCTGAATGTGGGTTAAACTATGGACACCTGTGGTGCCCTGTCCTGTCTCACTTCTGGTCTCCTTGGGAAAAATTGCCAGAGTCGTTGGGACACAGCGCTGACCCAGCACCTCCACACTCAGGAAAAGCCCTGAGGCTTAAGCACCCACAGATCTGTAGACAACAAGAACTCATGGCTCTGGGCTTGCTGTCTCAACACCAGTGAGCAGACCGGGACTGTTTGTGGACTGTGAGTGCCTAGCTACCAGGGTTCCAAGTTCTGTGAGTTCCATGGCCAAGGAAGTGAGGTCACTGTCTCCGGAAGTCCTTTGCTGAGTCCCTTTCTTACACAAGATGGTTCCAATGGCCCACTGGGCTGCAGTCTTCCCATGACATAGGCACAGGTGGACCCAGTTACACCAACACACCCTGGATCAGGCCCTCAGACAGGCCCGGGTGTAGCCAGCTCCCTTGGTTTGGGGAGACAGAGCTTGGTTGAGACCCTTCCCCTTCTTGTGGGTATGTGTGTGGCCCTGAGGAAGTCATTGTGCCTTGCAGGGCCTCCATAGCTTCTCAACATGTTCCCAGGGGTCATTCTAGCATCTGCTTTAGAGGTTGTCATCAGGGACATGTGCCCACACATACATGGACTCCCTGAGAAACCCTAATCCAGGAGTCATGCGTCTCTAATGCACAAATATACAGATAACATGACATAGGAAGTTAAGGGACAAAGGATGACATCCAACTTTACCATGACCTGAGTCCCACAGTGACAGAGGGAAAGTCAGCTCCTCTCTTGGCCATGGTCCCCACTCTGCACCACTGGAGGGTTATTTTCAGAGATAGCCTCCCCTTTGCCATAGAATTCTAATTCCTGTGCGAAATCAAATTGCCCCAATGTCTCTTCCGATCGTATGATGGGGTACACTACAGGGGATTTCAAACACCACAGCATCCTGTGCCCAAAGCCTGTAGCTCCCTCCTCTCTCAGTGGATCCACATCAGCATCTGGTTTCTAAGAAACAGAAATCAACAAGCCTCATGGGGTATCACTTCCAAGTTTGAGTCACGGGAAGTCTAACTTAGTCTGGCTCCACAGGCCCACAGCAGAGGGCACTGCTGAAATTCCAGAGGTTTGTGGGGAAAGTTGGTGGGGCAGCAGGCAGAGACCTGAGGACCCCATGAAATGGCAAGGAGCTGGCATTTCTGTGCCTCTGTTTCTACACGCCTCCCATAGGTGAAAATGCTAGGGCTAAAAAATTCACTGATGCACAAAACATATAAGAAGCAAGGATGGTGTGGAATGGCCAAGAATTTCTTCCATAGCATGGCCACGACCACGGAAACGGACTTCTCTATCTCCATGTCTTTAGGGAAAGGCAAAGCCACTTGCTTTTGTTTTGTGTGCAGTTTAAAGCAACAGTTTCCTCCTATTCTTCCAACTAAACTTTGGAGGCAAGATCCCAGTAGTATGAACAAAGAAGCATCTCAGAGGCAATAGTACTCAATAGCTGAGGCTACTGGAGCAGAGAGAAAGACAGACAATTCAGCTTTGAGGTCTGGAAAGGGAATAGGAGACCAGTCCCTGCAGGGAACACTCACAAACCGAATGCATGTTCACTGAGCGCCCTGTGCTCACTGTTGAATGGAACATGAGGAGCTGATGTCTTTCCATCTCCTAAGGAACTTCCAGATTTAGCTAGCCATCCCAGGAGACTCAGGACCATCATCCTTGTGCACACAGAGCTAAGTGGCTGCTCATTACCTTCCCACCAAAGGTGAGAGGCAGGTGATGCTAAGTTCTTTGAACTGATACTGAATTGAAAAATATTTTAATTGTATATGCTCTCCTGAAAATACCAGTAAATTCATCAGCTTCAAATTACTATAAGAAAGAACTAAAGGGGAGAAGATATGTTAAGCAAAGTAAAGATATGACAAGAATTCAACTTCCAAATGACCTAAATGCACTTGCAGCTTCTGTGCTATTTCCTGTTGCTTATAATACGTAGCAGGTTTCATATGTGCTGATGGTGCCTTACAGGCTCCTGGCCTAACAGGAGAGGCTTTCCTCACACTAGAGCAGCTTCACCAAGCATCTGGATTTACACAGCTGCAAATTTTGAAAAGTAACACTAAATGATATCTCTCAAGATAAAGATGTCTGCTCAAAAACAAATATTAAAACTAGATAAAATTCTACTAGAATACAAAAATGTAGAAACTACGATGACATAACAAAATATTTATTAAACTCTAAGCATGTTATTTATTGACCCCCAAACAAATATTCCTATAGCATTTCTAAAAGACATCATCCTTATTCTTCCTTGAATTGCTTCTATCCATCAGAAAGATGTCATGTTCTTAAGGCTGGTTGATTTATTCCCTTCAAATGTGAATAAAAACCCAAATCTCAAAATTCCACAAAACCATTTATAAGAAGGGAAAATGTCCTTCATCCAATTCACAATGCAGCTGAAAAAAATCCCAATAAAACCAGAAACAGCCTATGAGAAGGTTTCATAAGAATTGCAATTAGCTATACAATGATATACAGAAACCAGTTTTTTAAACACTTGAAAGTGCTCCTCAGCCACATCAGAAGCAACTAAGATATTTATTTAACACCTATTAACTCAATTTCCACAAGGAAAAAAAAATCTTCCTCATGCTAAACACGATAGATGAAGGAAATGCAGTATCAAAGAACAGCTCTCTTTGGTCATCAGCTCTGCGCTTCCCAGTTCACACTGAGGTTGACTTTCATCCTGCCCACATGGACCAGGACACTTAATTAACACACAGTCAGGGAGCCTGCCCTAGAAGGCTACTACTCCCCAGAGACTAGTACATGTGATCCTTTGGCTTTCCTGACACTAACAGGTTATGAACATCCTTTCTTCTTAAAGAATAGGCTGATGGGGCTGGGGTTTGGGTCAGTGGTAGAGTGCTTGCCTAGCATGTTGAGGCACTGGGCTCAATTTTCAGCACCACATATAAATAAATAAAATAAAGGTCCATTGACAACTAAAAAACAATATCAAAAAAAAAAAAAAAAAGAATAGGCTGGTGAACACAGCACATCAGCTGTTTCATGTGAGTACTGATATCTATTAGTTGTTGATAGCTGTCCCATTCCCAGGGTTACCTGCTATTAAAAGGCAAGCTCACTGGGGAAGCACTGAGGACTCCTATCATAGCCTCCTGCTGAAAACCTCTATTGAACTCCTGCTTCAATCCTAAGCCTGCTGCTTCCCCAAACACAAGTCTATTGCATGATTTTACAAAGAGGGGGAACTGATGGAAATCACTGAGGGGCTGGAACACCTGAAGAAGGTGAGCCTGGCAAGTGACTAGGTCCTCTTCCAGTCTGACCTCTTTGGAACAATTTGGAAGAAAATGATTTCTAGACAAGTCACTTGATAACAAATTTATAGTTTCATATTTGAAAGCACCAACGAAAGCTTTAGTTACCAGTCAAGATATGCAGTTCATGGGTGTGTCATTATGAGAAGTAACCAAGAAAAGGGTTGTGGCTGAGCTCGGACCATAGAGAACCCTCAGTGATCCACAGTGGCATTGGGCAGGGGGAGAGGTAGGGTCAATATGGGTAAATTCAATGCTCAGGACAATATTAAGAAGACTGTTAGATTAATTCAAACTATAATCCCCAGCCCTTTACAATAACAAACCATCCATTTAAGATCCACTCTCCCTCCTCCTGGCCATTTCCTAACAAAAGTACTAAGAGGCTCAGATCTGGCCAAAATGAAAGGCCCAGCAGGGCTTGGAGGCACACACCCGTAGTCCAAGCATTGGGGAAGATGGGACAGGAAAATATGGAGTTCAAAACTAGCCTCAGCAAACTAGAGAGGTCTGAAGCAACTTAGCTAGACTCTGTCTCTAAATAAACATATTTAAAAAAAAAAAAGTCTGAGGATGTGTCTTAGTGGTTAAGAACCCCAGGTTCAATATCTGGTATAAAAATAAATAAATGAATGACTCATCAAATTTTCAGTCCTCCGGATGGTTCTGTATTTTCAGCAGTGCCCATCAGGAACCATGGCGATGAGGTTACCTTCTAGAAAGCCAATCACATTATATATTCCCACATCCAATACTGCTCAAAAACCTGTTCCCCTGGTTTGGATTCATCTCAATGAAATGCCTGACTGTGCCAGCAATGCTCCTGTGCAACGACTGTGAAGCACTTGACAACTACTACACTCAAGGCAGGCAAGGCTGGCATCCTGCACCTTTGGGTTCAAAGGCTGGAGAGTCCAGGTTCTGGCAGGGACTGCCCTGGCTTATTCTCCTTTGTGGGACTTTCCAGGACTTGGGCACCATGGGTCCAGCTTAGGACCTGCTAAGACACCCTAGCTATGGGTGCTTCTAATTTTACTGCCATCTCCAAAGTCATCCGAAGCAGAAACCCCTACGATCAATGCAGGGGACCAACACCATTTCCAGAAAGGCCACCTACACTTGAAAGTCCATGCTGTGGAATCACTGGCTTCTACGACTACAGACCTCCCTCCAGATGTGATACTGGCCTTTGGAGCACTGAGCATCTGCTCCAAAAGAAGAGAAACTCCAAGCCCAGACAGCAAGCCTGGAGCATGAAAACCTGCAGCACCTCTAACCAGAATACCTCCAGTGACCAAGGGACAAAAGACAAGCAGCAAACATGAGCAGGGAGTCACCAATGCCCCTCCATTTAATGCTTGACACAAAGGCCACCCAAGCAGAAATCAAGGGGCCAGCACCACCCCAGAAAGACCAACTTGCATGACTATGCCCTTGGCAGTGTCCTCAGTGGAACCTGAGAGCAGAGAACCTGGGAGCAGCCTGTGGGTAATGAGCATCTCCTTTCTAAGAGGAGGGACCCTCGAGCACCAGACAGACCTATGAGGCAAGCTTGGGCCTGACTCTCTGTGGCCCCCACCACCAGAGTATTTCCATGGTGACCAAGTTACACAGGACAAACAGCAACCATGATCTTGGAGCCACCTAGGCCCCTCCTTTCAGTGCCATCCCCAAAGGGCCCACCCAAGCAGAAATGCCCAAGTTTGCCTCGGGGCACCAGCACCACCATGAGCAAGGCTGCATCTAGGTGCACATCTGTGCTGGCCTCTCAACCTGGCAGCTCAGCTGGACCAGCCACCAGACCATCCTCTTCCAGGTCAGGACCCACTCCTGTGGGGTCCAAGAGAAAACTCTTTTGCTAAGATGACATCCACCTTCTCCCACATGGGACCTGGTGGCAGACTGCTTAGATGCATAGCACAGGTCTCACCCTGACCTCTGTGATCCTGGGGCAAAGTGGAGGCTCAGAGACATGATGTCCCCTTCCCTCTCACTTCCTGGCAGCTTTGCCCTCAGAGTTGGGTAGCAGGAGCCTTTCATTTTACTTGGCTCTCTGGTCAGGCTCCTCACTACTACAGAGGCCCTGTCCTGGCTCTCTGGTTTCCTTGTTGTTTGAGCATCTGGGAGTTCTCTGTCCTTAGGCCATTTGCTTGGATGGGGAAATTTGAAATTGGCTTGTGGTCCAGATAATGAGAAGGGATATGAGGTGCACAGAGGAACCACAATGTTTGGAAGGTCTCCTTCATAATATGTAAGTATAGGAAATATTAAGCCCAGACTACTCACTAGAAAGAATGTTCACAGAGTGCTCTGCTTGTAGCTATAAATCTGTGACCAAGAAAAAATTATTTTCCCACTCTAACAGAGCATGGCCTCTGTATGGGCCAGAATCAAGAGAAAAATGGCCTTTAAGGAGGTCACTGAATTATTAGTCTTATGCAAATAGAATTGTTTTGTCAAAGACCAGGAAAATGGGATGAAATACGTAATTTTTTTATTCTACATAAATAAGCCTGTTCTAGACTCCTGGTGGGAAGACCTCCAGAAGCCTCTGCCACCTGGTGGGGGAGAGTGGAGAGCCACAGGGTGGGGTGGGTGAGCTGAGCCAGTGAGGTGCATGGGCTGCAGTCCTCCAGGGACCCTCAGTTGACCTTCACAAGAGAATCACAGAGGACAGGGTGGCTGAATCAGGAAGGCTGGAGGGATTTTCAGGTAACTTTAAAATAAATCTCACTGTGGGGAAGTGGGGCAAAGAGGAGGTGAGTCAGATGCCCCTTGGCTACCACTGGACAAAGGGGAGTGAGCCGAGGAAGGGTGTGCCACCCTGCCTGCCTCAAGGTCACCTGGGGTTATGGAGCTTGGGGCAGAGGCCTTCACAGGCCCACATTCCCAGCTACCTAGACCACTGGACCTTGAACCCAGATTCCTGAAGGTGACAGGAGCCAGGGGCTCACCTCCTGCCAGGTACCATCCTGCATGTTCCAGCTGCTACCAGCAACTCAGGTTTCAAGCTCCAACCAGGTCATCACCCCCTTATAGAAGCTTCCTAGACTTTTTATACCCCAAGTGGGGACCATGTGGTGCCCCATCCATGTTCTACTAACACCTCTTCTTGTTACTTGTCACAAGAACCCAAACTGTCATTCAGTCGCTCAGTGTTTCTCCAGTGTCCCCTGCATGCCAAGTGACATAGAAAGACTTCAATTAATCCATGTGAATGAATAGACCGTGACAACCTGAGGCCAGTTCTCTACAGCAAAAATCCTTGGTCCTCTGAGAACAAATAACCAAAAACCAGGCCTGACAGGGTAGTAGAGAGTGCAGGGAGGGCTTCCTCAAGGGGGTGATGGCCCAAGATCTGAAACAGAAGTAGAAATTACTTCTCTGGGCCTCAGTTTCTCCAGCTCTAAAGCAGGGAGATCCTGTGTGTCACCCACCACTGCCCCTACAGAGCCGACCTGGAGTTCAAGTTAAGACAGATGTGGGGACAAGGTGCAGGGAAAAGAACTACATGGAAATGGCCAGCAGCTTTGAGCTTTTTGTCTTGTTATGGGCGAGGCAGGGAGGAGGTGAGAGCTGGGAGGGGTGGAATAGGGCCAGTGGAGGTGGTGAGAAGGGAGGGTTTGGGGAAGTTCAAGGCACAGACTCAAAGACAGTTGGAGGATGGAGCAGGGAGGGGTGGTGTCTCCCTGCCAGACCTGGCTCTTTCCATGGTGTGGCCCAACCTTCTTTTCCTTCTGAATCCTGTCCCCCTCCATCCCTGCACCCCCAGCTGCCCACAGGTCATTCCTCTGCCTGACCCACACACTCCCGCTGCCTGGCCTTGCTCATGCAGTCCCCTCACTCGATCCCCTCCCTCTCCTATTGGTCTCCCCCTCTGGACGAATTCCCCAGCCACACCCATCTCTTCATTCTTCTCTGAGCCCCCCACCCCAACTTGATGGGTCCCCCCCTTCCAAGCTCCCAGCATCAGGCCTCCCCTGCAGGGTTCTGCACATGAGGCTCTGGAGCCAGATTTCCAGAATTCCAGTCCCAGCTCTTCCAGGCAGGACCTTGACTAACTCATAATTCATGTCCTTTCCCAGAGCCTCACCTTTACCACCAGGGAAATGGGTGATATGATTCCCTCTGTAAATATATGCAGCCTGGTTCATGGAGGTATTGATGCTCCGAGGTGGAATTCAGGGTTCCTGTAAGGGGGCGCCTTTTGGCACTTAAAGGAGTGGCCCTCGTGGCTCCAAGAACAGAGTTGGTTTTTGTCCCCTGTAAAGTGACCACTATAGGGATGGTCTAGTTAGTGGCGCTGAATATGTCGAAGCCCCATTTACCCTGTAAATGCTGTCTCATGCTTCTCTTTCCTTCACTTGGGGAGGAGATGAACAGAACCCCAAAGACAGATATGAGATCCGGGAGCTAGTTTGGGCTCCCAGGTTCCTGGATTGCATGGGGACAAACTTACAAGTCAAGGTGGCCTTTCTGAAGGTGGTGATGGTTCCTCCCAGGAGAGCTTCAGGGGTTCTGCACGGTCAGGCTTTGGGGGACAGCATTAATTGCACAAACATCAGTGGTTGCTTGCCCTGGTTTGTATTTTGCCTTCTCTCCCTTGGTCCTCATGGTGGTGCTCTGCCTAGGGGCAGGCCCTGGAGCTGTTCTGTCCCAAGCTTGCCCCATGGTGTTCTCTGGTTTTGGGAGTCCCTCTACTTTTTTAGCAGATGCCCATTTCTGCCATGGCAGACGGAAGAACTGGGGAAAAATCTGTCCTCCAAGTTGCAATTGAGGCAACTGACACTGGCAGCATTAAGGGGGATGAACCTTGGTTGTCCCATGCTGACTTGGGCTGCCTGTTCTTGGGACAAACACTGTTCACAGTCCCTGGCCTCTGAGTAGCAGCTGCAGAGGCTGATGGACTAGTTGCTCCAGTGGACTTGCAGCCTGGCTGCCAGCAGAATGTGTGTGGGTGCTGGCACGGGCCCCCACGGTGGGATTTCTACGTCTGTCAGCACCAAGGGCTGAGTGGGTTGGGCTGCCCAGGCTGGGGGGCCTGCTATCAATGGTGGGAATGGAGCTACCCCTGGACCTGGAGATCCCAGGTGTCCAAACTACTGACAGCTGGCAGAGGTGGGGGCTCTGGGCTTCTTCCTGTCAGAAACCCCAGGTGGGATGGTGGCTCCAGGGATGAGGGGCTGCTTCCCTCAGGGAGCCTGTTTAGGTACCTTTCAAGATGGCAGACTGAGGAATCAGACCAGAGACTCTGCGTCTAATAGAAGATAAAGTTGGTCCTCATCTTCATCTCGTGGGGGCAGGCCCCAAATTCCTTAATAAGACTCCTATAGCACAAGAGTTAAAACCAAGAATCAACAAATGGGACGAATTCAAACTGAAAAAGTTTTTTCTCAGCAAGAGAAATAATATGCGAGGTGAATAGGGAGCCTACATCCTGGGAACCAATTTTTACCCCTCAAACATCAGATAGAGCTCTAATCTCTAGAGTATACAAAGAACTCAAAAAGTTAAACAACAAAAAAGCAGATAACCCAATCAACAAATGGGCCAAGGACTTGGACAGAAACTTCTCAGAAGAGGACATACAATCAATTAACAAATACATGAAAAAATGCTCACCATCTCTAGCAGTCAGAGAAATGCAAATCAAAACCACCCTAAGATACCATCTCACTCCAGTCAGAAAGGCAGCCATTATGAAGTCAAACAACAATAAGTGCTGGCGAGGATGCAGGGGTGGGGGTGGGGGGTGGGAAGGTACACTCATACATTGCTGGTGGGACTGCAAATTGGTGCAGCCAATTTGGAAAGCAGTATGGAGATTCCTTGGAAAGCTGGGAATGGAACCACCATTTGACCCAGCTATTCCCCTTCTCAGACTATAC